CCCTATTAACCTCTAGATCTAACGACTGAGTAAGATCTTGCTAGTCCCTAGTTGATCTCAAGATCTAACGGGTGAGTAAGATCTTGCTAGTCCCTAGTTGATCTCTAGATCTAACGACTGGGTAAGATTTTGCACGTCCCTAGGTGATCTCTAGGTCTAACGACTGAGTAAGATCTTGCTCGTCCTAGTTGATCTCTAGATCTAACGACTGAGTAAGATCTAACACGTCCCTAGTGGATTTCTAGATCTAACGACTGATTAAGATCTTGCACGTCCCTAGTTGATCTCTAGATCTAACGACTGGGTAAGATTTTGCACGTCCCTAGTTGATCTCTAAATCTAACGACTGAGTAAGATCTAGTCGTCCCTAGCTGATCTCTAGATCTAACAATTGAGTAAGATCTTGCTCGTCACTAGTTAATCTCTAGATCTAACGACGGGGTAAGATCTTGTTCGGCCCTAATTGATTTCTAGATCTAACGACTGAGTAAGATCTTGCTCATCCTAGTTGATCTCTAGATCTAACGACTGAGTAAGATCTAACACGTCCCTAGTGGATTTCTAGATCTAACGACTGAGTAAGATCTTGCTCGTCCCTAGTTGATTTCAAGATCTAAGGGGTGAGTAAGATCTTGCTCGACACTAGTTGATCTCTAGATCTAACGATTGAGTAAGATCTTGCTCGTCCCTAGTTGATCTCTAGATCTAACGACTGAGTAAGATCTAACACGTCCCTAGTGGATTTCTAGATCTAACGACTGAGTAAGATCTTGCTCGTCCCTAGTTGATCTCTAGATCTAACGATTGAGTAAGATCTTGCTCGTCCCTATTAACCTCTAGATCTAACGACTGGGTAAGATTTTGCACGTCCCTAGGTGATCTCTAGATCTAACGACTGAGTAAGATCTTGCTAGTCCCTAGTTGATCTCAAGATCTAACGGGTGAGTAAGATCTAGCTCGTCCCTGGTTGATCTCTAGATCTAACGACTGAGTAAGATCTAGTCGTTCCTAGTTGATCTCTAGATCTAACGACTGGGTAAGATCTTGCACGTCCCTAGTTGATCTCTAGATCTAACGACTGGGTAAGATTTTGCACGTCCCTAGTTGATCTCTAAATCTAACGACTGAGTAAGATCTAGTCGTCCCTAGCTGATCTCTAGATCTAACAATTGAGTAAGATCTTGCTCGTCACTAGTTAATCTCTAGATCTAACGACGGGGTAAGATCTTGTTCGGCCCTAATTGATTTCTAGATCTAACGACTGAGTAAGATCTTGCTCATCCTAGTTGATCTCTAGATCTAACGACTGAGTAAGATCTAACACGTCCCTAGTGGATTTCTAGATCTAACGACTGAGTAAGATCTTGCTCGTCCCTAGTTGATTTCAAGATCTAAGGGGTGAGTAAGATCTTGCTCGACACTAGTTGATCTCTAGATCTAACGATTGAGTAAGATCTTGCTCGTCCCTAGTTGATCTCTAGATCTAACGACTGAGTAAGATCTTGCTCGTCCCTAGTTGATTTCAAGATCTAAGGGGTGAGTAAGATCTTGCTCGACACTAGTTGATCTCTAGATCTAACGACTGAATAAGATCTTGCTCGTCCCTAGTTGATCTTAAGATCTAACGACTGAGTAAGATCTTGCTCGTCCCTAGTTGATTTCAAGATCTAAGGGGTGAGTAAGATCTTGCTCGTCACTAGTTGATCTCTAGATCTAACGACTGAGTAAGATCTTGCTCGTCCCTAGTTGATCTCAAGATCTAAGGGGTGAGTAAGATCTTGCTCGTCACTAGTTGATCTCTAGGTCTAAGGACTGAGTAAGATCTTGCTCGGCCCTAGTTGATCTCTAGATCTAACGACTGAGTAAGATCTTGCTCGTCCCTAGTTGATCTCTAGATCTAACGACAGAGTAAAATCTAGTCGTCCCTAGCTGATCTCTAGGTCTAACGACTGAGTAAGATCTAGCACGTCCCTAGCTGATCTCTATATCTAACGACAGAGTAAGATCTAGTCGTCCCTAGCTGATCTCTAGATCTAACGACTGAGTAAGATCTAGTCGTCCCTAGCTGATCTCTAGATCTAACGACAGAGTAAGATCTAGTCGTCCCTAGTTGATCTCTAGATCTAACGACTGAGTAAGATCTAGTCGTCCCTAGTTGATCTCTAGATCTAACGACTGAGTAAGATCTAGTCGTCCCTAGTTGATCTCTAGATCTAACGACTGAGTAAGATCTAGCTCGTCCCTAGTTGATCTCTAGATCTAACGACTCAGTAAGATCTTGCTCGTCCCTAGTTGATCTCTAGATCTAACGACTGAGTAAGATCTAGCTCGTCCCTAGTTGATCTCTAGATCTAACGACTGGGTAAGATTTTGCACGTCCCTAGTTGATCTCTAGGTCTAACGACTGAGTAAGATCTTGTAAGATCTTGATCTCGATCTAACGACTGAGTAAGATCTTGCTCGTCCCTAGTTGATCTCTAAATCTAACGACTGAGTAAGATCTAGCACGTCCCTAGTTGATCTCTAGATCTAACGACTGAGTAAGATCTAGTCGTCCCTAGTTGATCTCTAGATCTAACGACTGAGTAAGATCTTGCTCGTCCCAAGTTTATAATGGAGATATATGGAACTAGTCAACAAAATAAGAATTACACTCAATAACAGTGTAATGAATTAAGTCTTTAAAAAAAATGAGAATTTCTACTGAATTCCCATAACGAACGAATTTCAATTTCATAAGTTCACCAAGACATTTGGGAATTTCTTGTTCAAAATGTAACTGATGTGCTTTTGTTTGTAATGCGTTATATTTGAATCTGAATTGGTTTTGTTCGTCATCAAACTTGTGGCAGGTCGATGAATTGGTCCTTTTTTCCCAAACGGAACGTTAACAGTTATTCATCTGCCTAAATGGTTAACTGGAATAAGTCTATTTATTTGTCTGTTGTAATTGGTTCATTGGTTTTCTTGACTATTAATCAATATTATCTCTACATAATTTAATTATGTACGCAACACCAATATCAGCTTCATTATTTAATTCAACAAGGGAAAATAGCGGCCTTAGAATGGGCCCTTTTGGAAACTGCCATAACATTATATGCTAATGGAATTGACAAAGCTTCATGTATACATGTATACCTATGTACATAAGATAAATTTTCAAGACTTTTTAAATTAAAATTAAATAAGTTTGTAACACCGCTCGGTCGATGTGTCGTTCAAACGGAACCACGTGGAAAACTGGCTTGTGGGGTGTGAACCGAGAAGCCGTGGAAAATGGAAGCTAATCACGTGTCACTGAGAGATATCGGCTGTTGTAGGCCTAATATACCCTCTGATTCTGTCATTTTTATGTCAATATTATTACATCATCTCACAGATCTCAACATAATGGACCGCCGCTAACAAGTAACGATCTAAAACAATAAACACACCGCAATATTGTCTTAACGCGTTCAGCTGGGAATGAAATGTTTCCACGGTTTTAAAAGTATTTCCGCAAATTTTAATATTCGATATCTTTATGACTTATGCACAACAGAAATGAAATAGTCAAAACAGAGTTAGCGTGCAAAACCCATCCAAAGTTATCATGTACGAAAACACTAGGTTAGAAATGGTTTTAGAATCAGGTCGTGATTTAGAAACAAACAAAAGACATGTGCATGATGAAGTTTGACAAAGTAGGCCTACTAAAATATGTTTCCAAAGAAAGCCATCAATTTTAAAATCTGTCTTTTATATTATCATGGGACAACACTAATCACCGAAGTCCTATTTTTTCCCCTTCAACTAATACTTCTTTATTCCCTTCTTTATTCTTTTTATGTCTTTTATTCATTAATTTGATAATTTATCTATTCATTTATTTAATCACATGATTGGTTTATATTGATGTATGTACAATATCTATACTCTGATTATTGTTTGTTTAAAACAAGATGTGAGGAAGAGTGTATCTCTAGTGGAGACAGACATAAAACATTTTAAGAAACAATAAAAGAGAGTATCAACAGACTTGCCAGTTTCAAGAAATTATTGGGTAAAAGAGAAAACTTTTGCCCCTAATGATATTTTTTTAATATAATTTCAAGACCTGTTCTTTATCTATTTATCTATTTTATCTATTTATTCATTTATCTTTTCCATATTTTGATATGATTTGAAATTTTGTGATACGTAATTACTCAAGTAAATACGTTTTTTGAATTTTTTTTTCTGAATCATTGTATTTTGAATATTAACCCACGATGTGTTCAAATGAATTACTCCAATCACGGTAATATTCATTTACTGCATATTCTTAATTGTATTGTTGGTTTTTTTTTGTTTTGTTTTGTTTTTTTGTAAAAGTCGCTAAACAGATAAAAAATATATATATACATTTATATATCTCATATCTGACTTCCTGATAGCAAGAAATGAATTGTCGATATAAAAAAGGTGAGGTTACAGCTTATGAAAAGCCAGTTCGTTTGATACTTTACCGATGCACATGAAACTAATTAACAGAAGCCGGACAGGTGATGTGTCATTAGATCACAAATTGATCTCAAGAACCGTAAAAATGCGCATTTTATTAGTTTATGTATCTTTGTTACTTTTGTTCATTCATTTTGATTATATCGTATCTTCAAATAACTGTTTACAGTGCGGTTAATATTTCACGGCACTTTCTCCATTCATTCATTCATTCATTCATTCTTTCATTCATTCATTCATTCATTCTTTCTTTCTTTCATTCATTATTTCATTTATTCATTCTTTCATTTTCCACACTTCTCGTCGTTATGATACGTTTAAAAGTCACGTGGATTCAGCCTTCAATTTTGAAATTGTATGAACTGATAGTGATGCTACAGCTTACACTTTTATGGATTTGGCGCTTTTCGTACACCGTCGGAAACAGTAGTCGAGAACCACTTCATTGATTATAATGTGCTTACAACTTCCGGTCCTTATAAAAATAACAGTTGCTGTTTAATACTTTTATCGCAATGTATTCGATCGATCCCCTCGACTGGGCAGAAGGACTGGAATCGATAGCCATATACAGCAATGATCCAACTCTGATACAAGAAATGAAAACAAGCAAGGTAAAGTTGTAAGTCAGAACTAATATCAGGTGTCCACACCGTATCACAGAAATATCCGGATTTGAATGGAAAACGAAAGTCACTTAACTCGAGGACTTGTTATGTGATATTAGACTTTATGAAAGCATGAATTGTTAACAAATAGTCGATCTAAGAAAAATGCTTTGTTTGATGAAATAATGGCTTATACACTTATTGCATTTCCGATGCTTGCTCGACTGTCGGCAGTAAAATTATCCTTATTTAGAGACTACAACTGAATAAACGACTACATGTACAATGTATATGTGATTAGAATAGAAACATTGCTTGTTTTTGTAACAATTGATATAAGGTGTCTTTTGTGAAAATCAATATACATATTTTCCTTTCTGTCCCTAGTGAGCGTCGAACCCAAATATAAGGATTCGTTTCAGGATAAATATCTTTAAACCAATGGTATTTAATCTTAACGTTACACTTTTTTTTTTAATTTTCCTATTGTCTTTGTTAATTATTTAAATATTTGTATGCCCTAAAACTGTGTCGGGGTAAACATATGATAAGATGTCATTTTAACACTGAATGATAGTGAATCATTTGATTCACTTGTTTATTGTTACCAAGGAATCAAATTGTAAACATCTAGAAGATAATTTGTTTATGTTGCAATGATGTCAATAGATACTTACTGAATCAATTAATTATCTAAAATTCAAAAGGAGGCTTGGTTCACATTAGCAACGTAGACTGTCACTGTTCAGCATTGCCTCCATCTATTGGGCGTCATACTAGTAGTTGTTCGTAGTCCTCGTTACTCTCTTCTGTGCTTACTTGGAATGCATGACTTAAGACTGTATGGCACATATCCTCCTTCCGTTTCCGGAATATCTGGCCGGAATATCAAAGATGCCTTTATAAGACTTTTTTTATCTTATTTCCCCTCGTGTCATTGATTTTCAGATTGAATTCATATTATGCTGTACTTGTTGACATGTCTGTATATGTTGACATGTCTGTATTTGTTGACATATCTGTATATGTTGACATGTCTGTATTTGTTGACATATCTGTATTTGCCGACATGTCAGTTATTGTTGACCTATCTGTATATGCTGACATATTTGTATTTGTTGACTTGTCTGTATTTGTTGACATGTCTGTATTTGTTGACTTGTCTGTATTTGTTGACCTATCTGTATATGCTGACATATCTGTATTTGTCGACATGTCAGTACTTGTTGACATTCTGTATATGCTGACATATCTGTATTTGTTGACATGTCTGTACTTGTTGACATGTCTGTATATGTTGACATATCTGTATTTGTTGACATGTCTGTATTTGTTGACGTGTCTGTATTTGTTGACATGTCAGTACTTGTTGACATGTCAAGTACTTGTTGACGTGTCTGTATTTGTTGACATTCTGTATTTGTTGGCGTGCCTGTATTTGTTGGCATGTCAGTACTTGTTGACATGTCTGTATTTGTTGACGTGTCTGTATTTGTTGACATTCTGTAATTGTTGGCGTGCCTGTATTTGTTGACATGTCTGTATTTGTTGACATGTCAGTACTTGTTGACATGTCAGTACTTGTTGACATTCTGTATTTGTTGACATATCTGTATTTGTTGACTAGTCTGTATATGTTGACATGTCTGTACTTGTTGACGTGTCTGTATTTGTTGACATTCTGTATTTGTTGGCGTGCCTGTATTTGTTGACATGTCTGTATTTGTTGACATGTCAGTACTTGTTGACATTCTGTATTTGTTGACATATCTGTATTTGTTGACGTGTCTGTATTTGTTGACGTGTCTGTACTTGTTGACATGTCAGTACTTGTTGACATGTCAAGTACTTGTTGACGTGTCTGTATTTGTTGACATTCTGTATTTGTTGGCGTGCCTGTATTTGTTGGCATGTCAGTACTTGTTGACATGTCTGTATTTGTTGACGTGTCTGTATTTGTTGACAAGTCAGTACTTGTTCACAAGTCAGTACTTGTTGACATGTCAGTACTTGTTGACTTGTCTGTATTTGTTGACATGTCTGTATTTGTTGACGTGTCTGTATTTGTTGACATGTCAGTACTTGTTGACATGTCTGTACTTGTTTACATGTCTGTATTTGTTGACATGTCAGTACTTGTTGATATATCAGTATTTTCTTTTTGTTTAAGTACAAAACATTTTGTCAGAAATGTCAAACCTCACTAAATATTCTTTCTGGTAGTTTTTTGGAACATGTAATTGCGAAATTTCTGGTACCAATGCCTTTTACTGCCTTTCTGTTCTTCTCTGTGCTGATAAGGAAAATCAATTACTAGGTGCTTAGTGTGGGTCTTAAATCGCTTGTCCACGAAGCTCCACGCATTATCGACCTTTTGATCAATGAATCGATGTTTTCGTGTCACGGAAATCAGTTGGTGATAACACCCCACCTTTAGAAACCGATAGGTGTGCCAGAAGATGTCTGTCAGGACGAAACCGTGATAATTGTCTTGATAAGTGGGTGTTGTTTTTTGCGAAATACACAATTCAAAATTTCGAAAACAAATGATGAATAATAGTTATACTATATGCACGGAAAACTTTCAACCGTATCCGTAAACTTTTATATAACATTAGTTTTTTTCCTGGAAATTCTACTACAGGAAGCAATGGGCGTTACCAACCTCGATACAAAGAAGACATTTGTTACACAGTGTTGTGAATCCTATATACCACATTGACTTTTACTTAAGATGAGAAATAGATAATTCGACTTGTCACTGAATCAATGGTACAATTTGCGCTGAACTGAGTAACAGATTGACTTGCGAGACATTTTACACGTGTCTTCATCAATAGACGTGCGCTGTGATTCAATTTAGCCAATTTTAACTACCTTCAATCACGTGACACTGTCAGGTAAAACATTTGTTACAACATCGTGGCATTGATGAATACTATTATACTGTGATCAGTAGACATTTGGGTATGTTTAACATCATGGTAGTAGAAAAACTAGACCACTGTTGCCGAACACTTAATAGAAACTGCTCTGTATACATTTAAATGTTTGATGAAACATTAACGTTATGCCGGACAACAGCGTTTCCTATTGTTTACTAACACCACAACTGTTACCGCAATTGAAAAGCTTGTCAGATAAAATTGATGTTTGCATATTCATACGTGTCGTTTTTTTTGGCAAACAATATTACTTATTAATATCAAATTGTCTGCCAGACAACATCGATGTACACATTAATAGGTATCATCACAAACAGTGTCTCTGTTGACGTTTGTTGTAGTGGAAGAATGGTTCTCTCAGTATTCCACCAACTTTCACCAGGTTCACTATTATCTAAATAGATAGAAAAATGATCGAAGACATACAGCTTGTACGTGGTCTCTTTAATAAATCCGAGGACATTATACAAAACAAGTGTGAAGTTTAAATGGCGAATCCATCGGAGAACAGAGTTATATCTACCTTGTAAATATGGTATTCTCTGCTATTGTTTTTTGGGTTTTTTGTTTTCTGTTTTGTTTTGTTTTGGTTTCGTTTCACGCGTCTGACGCAACAAAGTTCTAAAGCTTTCTATTAAATAAACGGCGATTTATTTTTAACAGAAACTAGTGACCGTACTGACATCTAGTCCCTAGTGGGTGGTCGGGTGGGAATTCCTTAATTGGACGTGTTAAGGTACGGGTTAATTGGTTCTGTCTGGGTATATATGTAATCTAGTTTCCTTCCACATAATATCCCTCGCGCGCTCCCATCCTGGCAAACAAGAATGATTAATTTTATTTGCAATACAATACAATTTCTTTAGCGAAAGTTCTTAAAGTGAAAAGTTTACAGCTTGTTTTAAACATCCTTTATTTGCATCAAATATTTACAATGGAATGGAGTATAAGTCATCAAACTGATATTAATATCTTTCCTTATAATATTAAAAAATAAATCAATATGATGGGATGTATATATATATTTATAGAGAGAGACAGAGACAGTCAAACAGACAGACAGAGAGAGAGAGAGACAAGAGAGACAGAGACAGAGACAGTCACACAGACAGACAGACAGACAGAGAGAGAGAGGGAGAGATAGACAGCCAGAGACAAAACAGACGGAGAGAGGGAGACAGACTGACAGACAGGGAGGGAGAGAGAATAGAGCGAGTGAGAGAAGAACCAGTCAGAAAGAGACAGGGAGACAGACAGACACTCACACAGACAGAGAGAGGGAGAGATAGACCGACAGACAGACAGAGACAGTCACACACACAGACAAACAGAGAGAGAGTGAGAGATAGACAGACGGAGAGAGGGAGACAGACAGACTGAGAGACAGGGAGGGAGAGAGAATAGAGCGAGTGAGAGAAGAGCCAGACAGAAAGAGACAAGGAGACAGACTGGCTGACAGACAGGGAGAGAGAGGCAGATAAAAGAGAGAGAGTGAGAGAAGAAATAGACAGACAGACAGAGGGGAGAGAGACAGATAGGAAGACAGAAAGAGAGAGGGAAAGAGAGAGAAGAGACAGACAGATTTAACATACAGAATAAAAACGAATAAGTTACAAAAAGTGTCTACTCCGACTTAAAATCGTTGTTAACATATCAGTATTCATAACATTCAGACCTGTCAGAAGTCGATCGCATCCCGTACCAGCTTATCTCCGTCTTTTAATCTGATATCTTCCCCTTTTTTCCTACAATAAATCGACTCAAATTAAAGAAAATATTTTTAGTTTATGGGATGTCATTAGCTCAATTGTGATCGTGATCTCACTTTTTCATCAATAAATGTTCGTGTCTTCATGATAAAAGCAATTAGTCCATGAACAAATAGTCATGTTGACCTTTTCATTGATGAACTGCTGTCTACTCCCTTAAGTAACGTTTCAGAAGAAACAGCAGCTTACTTCAAACCCCATTTAACCTTCCGTTCTGCATCTCAGTGAATGTCTATATTCAGCTATTTCACCACCCCCGCCAACATTTCAATGACGATGGAATTCTTCAATGCCTACCATCACGGTTACGACTTTCGAACTTTACCTTCAATTAGTTCGTGTTTCTTAACTCGACTGAATGATTTTAACGATCAACGGTCGCGTTTCTTGTTCTATTAGCACCTCTGACTTTGTAGAATAATTAGCGATTGTGGTGGTCAATAAATTTACGAGACAATCACAATTCGTATCTGGCATTGTAGTGGGTAATACATTGGTCGTCCGTACTATATATATCATTTTTCATCTGAAAATTTAAAAGTTTTTCATCATGTATGAAACTCGAAACTAATGTTTGGCCGAATTAAGTCCAACGTAACATCTTTTCCCGTTTTTTGATAAATATTTAATATTGTTAATAATCGTTGTATTTAAAGCAGCAAGCATTGAATGCTGGAAAGGTCTTTTGTAGAATCTCTGCTTGTGGACAACATTTTGTGACGGTTTAAGTTGATGCCGTGATTCGATTTGTAGTGTTAACATTTTTTTTCGTTGCTAGAGTTCTTTTCTTGGGTTTAACTCTAGAAGTCTTGGGAAGAATCCAAAATGTCGGGTGCGTTATCACCACAAAGTACACATTTCAATTACGTGAATTCTGATGAAGTGTTTACATTTCTTGATTTTTTTTCTTTCTTGATCATGTAAAACATGGATATTTGGGTAAAAATTGAAATTTCAGAACAGTGTCAAATAAAGGAACTGGATTTTTATCTTGTTATCCAATTATTTTTCTTTTCCACCTTTATAGAAAAAGGGATTTGCTGGAGGAAAAGAACACCTCAAAAATGACAAAAATTTCTGTTATGTAAGGAAAAAAAGAAGAAGAAAAATAATGGAAAATAATTATTTCCCATTACGCATACTCAGGCGCCTAGCGGTAAAATGTGCAGCATAATATTTTTTGCAATTAAAATGCTTACTATCATTTAACCTTTCAAACAAATCATCATCACAGTATTAGTCAAATTTTACAAAACTTTGGCCGTCAGACCTTCGAACGTTGTAAGTGTTAAATGTGAATGATAAGCTATTTTGAAATCAATGATTCACATTCATACACGTGTGGGTGTTGGATGTAACGAATTTTAAAGGGTAAAACCTAATCGGAAATAACGTGACACATTTGTTTTATTTATACAATACATAATTGCAATATTTGACTTGAAAAGATCTAGCTTTTTAACAAATATTTCATCCAGTTTTAACTTTCTCAGTCGCCCTCTAGGTGTCACTATCTAAATCTTTATCATTATTGAAGAGTCCTAGAAAGACGAAATAGATGCGTTCATTTGCCTGGCAATATTGCGTCTAATACACTTTTTGTGTCTATTGTAAATTCTTTATCGTAATCTTCACAACTATTAACGGATATACTTGTATATTTAAGCTCCTCACATTGTCTCGTGTAACTTAATGATGTCATTAGAATGGAGACCTGTATAAGGTTATTTCTAAGTGTGAGGTGGGCTCAACATTCGACGGAAGACATTCAACTCTAAGGAATTCGAATGTTGTGCCAATCGACATTCGCCATGCAACCTGAAGAATTTGAATCTTATTCTGCTCGACATTCGACGCTCAATAGCATAAGAAATGTATCAATAAGTGAACACTTTTTTTAGGCAGACGGAGTGTTACTGTCAAGAAATGGTAAATAAAAATATGAAAATAGAATATGCAGTTTTTAGTATACATCTACAAATTATTTCTAAAATTGAGTTGAAATTCCGAAATTATAAACATTGTACGATTGTTCGTTCAGTGCAATATCAACCTGATACAATCTATGATACTTTATGAAAATTCAGGATGATTACAAAACAAAATTTCTTACATGGAAACTTTTTTTTATTGTAGTATGTGAAAACAAATATTCCCGGCCCTGGTTGTGACATGGACGATTTTGAAACCAAGATCCTCGGCTGCCAGTGTGGGAGTGAATTGTGCCTTGCAACGTGTTCGTGTGTATCCAAATATGGCAAGGTTTATCAAGAGAGGAAAATAATTTCATCAGTCATTTGTTGTAAAAACATGGTACCAATATTTGAATGTAATATTTTGTGTACATGTCCACCGGACTGTCAAAACAGATTAATTCAGAAAGGAATATCAATTAAAATGGAAGTCTTTTATTCAGAAACAAAAGGACTTGGTCTACGAACGCTTGAAACTATCGACCAGGGGACCTTTGTTTGTGAGTACGCTGGTGAAATTATATCGTTTGCAGAGGCCAAAGAACGAACAAAACGCCAATCAGAGCATGACATGAATTACGTCATAACTGTCAAAGAACATCATCGCACGGGCGTAATCATGACGCACGTGGACCCGTCAACCCGGGGAAATATTGGACGTTATGTAAACCATTCTTGTTCTCCAAATCTGTCAATGGTTCCGGTGAGAGTAAACTCAATGGTCCCAAAGCTTTGTTTGTTCGCGGTCAAGGACATCCCACCGTTTACTGAACTTACCTTTGATTACGGACATGCAAGTACGATTAACTCCGACGATATAGGTCTAACAACATTTCTCAAGAAATGTCACTGTGGTGCTCATGTATGTAAGGGTTATCTGCCTTATGAACCTCTTTTGTATGAATAAAATTCCAAATATATATACTGATCTACATACTTACTGATCTACACAGAAGCAGATGAAGGTGTTTTTGAAAATGAAATTTTAAAATTTTAAACTGTTCTCGAAAACTAAATTCAATATTCATTTAACTGCAAATAAGACCTTTGTACTCTATTTACTTAAGCTCGGTTTTCTGCAATGAGTCATTATCATAACTTGATTTTTAAATTTGATGGTAAATAATAGGATAAATATTTATCATAACCTGATGGTGTGCCTGAACATTTTTCGTCAAAATAATTATAATTTCCTGACTTTTGACGAGCGTTCTGCTGTTCTTAATTTGGTTTCCAGTTTATAAGAAATTTATGAAAAGAGACTAAAATCATGAACTATTGACGATATAATTTCTATATTGTTTTCAAGCTCGCTCAATATCACCCTCCTAGTTGACGTCACGTCTTATATGATCATGACGTCACAATTGAAATCGTGGGAAATTTCAGCCAATCACAGCTGTGTAATTTGTAATTTTATTTTCTTATCCGTAGGCACATCAGGCCCCACTTGTATAAAACTTCTCAACTTGAGATTTCCTCAAGTCGAGATTTTCCTCAGCTAATATCTCCTTGAAAATATCTTGTATGAAAATTCCTCAAGGAATTTCAGGGCATCCAAGCCGATGACTTCCTCCTGTTCCTTGAGAAAATTTTATACAAGCCGTTTTTGAGGAGATATCAGCTGAGGGAAATCTCGACTTGAGGAAATCTAAAGTTGAGATGTTTTATACAAGTGGGGCCAGGTAGTATAATTAATCATTTTATATCCAGGCAGACAAACACGTTTGGCGATGTCGGAACGATTTACACTTCCACGGATACAAACTCCATATAGTCTGTTCCTTCTTTCCTTGCTTCTACGATGTACTTACCATTTTTTTTTTATATTTCAAGTGTGATGAGAGGAGTAAACGATTCACAATTTCATTTTGAAATATTGTTGTCATGAGCTTGTGATCATAATACAATATATGTAATTGCGATTAGTATAACAAGTGAAGTTATGAAATACATCCTTTCACTATAAATCGATTCCTTCAAAACTTTCTATCATGTCATGTTTCCCTTAAATCAACGGTTACATCACCAGCCAGGAGCATGCGTACTCACTAAGATCTAAATGTCAAGAATGGGTGCTGATTGACAGAAACGCGTGGTGCTTAATGTCCAATTTACTGGTATACTAACTAAAGGATTCAAATAAATCTTGTTGATAAACCGTAAAGTAACAAAATATCCGACATAGAGATTAACTATCTCCTGTTATTCGCCTTTGTTAATATCAGCTTTAGTAGCATGTGGTTTGCTATCGTTCAACCAAACAGTAACCAGTGCCACTGTCGATCATATATCACTTTCAAATTTAGTAGCTGATCTTTTAAACAAACGTTTGTTGAATTTATTTATCTGATTTTCTGTTTAATGATTCCAACATACTTGAAATATATTTTCTGGGGCCCACGTAGCTTTTACATGTATCAAACACCTGTTCTGTAGCTAAAACTGATACCAGAACAACCTCACAGGACGAGTCAAACTTTGCTAACAAGCATGTTCATACAGAATAATGTACTATACCCCTTCTTCACAGTACAGCTATAAATGTGTTGCTTGTTATAGAAATAGCTTGGTAATCATTTATCCCATGTTCGACAGCTTCAATATCATCTTGTTATTTTGGTTACTGAGAAGGCCGTTTTAAGGTTTTAACACGTTTGATTCCCGTGACATTGGAAGTACGGTAAAAAATAAAAAATAAAAAAAAATCCAAGGTGATCGACAGAAAATTCAAATCCAGGCGAAGAGATGCAGCCACCCAATAATTAAATAAATTTGGTAATTTTCACAGATCATAAATTTTAAAACCGCGTCAAACACATGTGTATATTCTGAACTGTGCAAAAGTTGATCAGTCATTAATTTGAATGAAACGCATAGCTCTTCTTCTCAGCATGCTACTGCTCTAATATAATGGGGTAGCCCTTCGGTTCCTTAAAAGAAGTCATATGACCAAAAGGAAAATTTGACCCATGTGGTTTAAAAATGGGTCAAGGTCATTTGTTTAAGCAGGCTATTGGCCCAAAATCGTGACGTTAAGCCTTTTGGATATCGTGTGGGATTTTCTTTTGTTTTACAGTTTAGATTTGCACATATTTCACCAGTGTGATCTTGAAAGTGAGTCAAGGTCATTCATTTGAACAAACTTGAAAACCCTTTACTCCAGCATGCGCCTGACCCAATATCATGTCTCTGGGTCTTTTAATTATGAGGAAGTTGTTATAAAATGTTCACTCCAAATATATAAAACGTAATTCATGATTGAAAATTGTAGTTGATACATGTGACCATGAAAAGGAGCCAAGGCAATCCATTTTAACACACCTGAAAGGAATTGACTCCAGCATATCTGCTGGTCGGTTTTCACGAACATTTTTTATCTTTGAGAAAAGTTGGAAAAGAAAGTATGTATGATGCATCCTGGCATTGACTCGCTTGCCCTTTAGCCAAGTGTGCTAATAATGATTCTGATACAATAAGCTCCCTATTTAAAGACTATAAAAGGCAATTCAACATGCACCATAATTTGAATTTTATTTCAAATGAAATCTGTCATTCTTCACCGTTCATTAATTGTACATGAACTGAGGGCAACCTCCACTTGGTACTTTCACATTTATCAATTTACACGAATGAAATACATGATGTATTGTGAAACTTATTGATTTCATAGAATTTCAAGAAATTATTATATCCAGCAATTTCTTTCCACAACACTAATATTTCAGTATTTCAGACTACAGCTATAGATCTACCACCTATATAATGAAATACCGGTCCCTCCGCCCCGATGTCCATCACTTATTAATGGATAGCACTGAAAGAACCATCAAAATAGGTTGCTGAGGCAATACTAATATTATGTTTTTTTTTTTAATCAGAGACATGTTTTTTAAATAGTTGAATGACACTCTCCTTCTTTGCAAGCTTGTCTGGAGTGTAACCTGCCCCATCTGGTGTCAGGCTTGCGCCATGCTCTAGTAGAATTTCCACACATGCAGCATGCTGGGCACCACTAGCTATGTGTAGAGCTGAAGAGCAGATAACAAAACAACAAATGTACATAAATAAAACAAATCAAACTGATTGAAAAGCGACGAAATACGATAATTACAAACAAAACATGCACGAAGGGAGATAACTCATCATAAAAATTCAACAGGAATGATTTAAGTACAACTTTTTATCATACTGTAAAAGACGGACTCGCAAATGAGCATGGCTCACTAGGTTTTCACGTGTAAAATTACTTAAAGAATAGATATGTTAGAATATGCTGGGATATATATTGAAATGTATCACTATTTGAATGATGTCAAGGCCAACTAGTAATCAGTTGTAAAAATAATGTAAGGTGACAATGGTCTGTTCTTATATACTGTATATATATATATACTTAAACTGTCAATAGATTGTTACCTGTTCTTCCTTTCTTGTCTACACTATCAACATTAGCTCCAGCACCCAATAAAAACTCCACAACTGCAAGCTGTCCTTCCTATTAAAATTAAAATGTACTTGAGTAGTTTATGCCGTGTAAAGTCCTTCTATAATATCTATATAGCAAAACTGAAACGTGTGTAGAACTTTATTCCAGAGATGTTGAATTTAAGAACTAACATCTTTTTTTTTGTTTCTCAAGTATTGAAACCTCTGTAAATGTTGCTGGTTAGTTAGAAAGTCGTCACATAATGAGAGTGTAATACATTACAGCACAGGAATTTCTTACCAGTTAAACTGTTACTGAAATAAAAATATCATAACCTAAGAATTAATGACAAATTTAAAAATTCACACAGGGATTAAATAGATACTATTATGTAATTCAGAAATGAAATTTCTAGCCTCCAAATCAAACAGATACATTTGAAACACACCTTAGATGCAACTGCCAAAGCTGTGGAGCCAGCTGTGGTTGGAGTGTCCACTTCCACAGCCCTGGTTTCTACCAGGTATTTGACCGATTCCTTATGGCCAGCTTGTGCGGCCTGGTGGAGAGCATGGTATCCTACATTATCCATCTCATGTAAACTGGCCTGTGTAAAGAAGCATAAATTCTACAATCTATTTTATTTCTGAAAAAACATCTTACCAATTATCATGATTTGTCATTTTACACAAGGTTTCTGACAGTCAAAGTAGTTTTACAGATGTCAATGGTAAATAATTTTTTTTCATAATATTTTCTCTTTGCTGATATTTTTTTTTTATATAAATTGGTGTACTGAGATAATATAGCATCATATTTATAATTAAATGGTATAGAGGTATTGATAATGAATGCCGAAGAAACAGGACTGGAATTGAAAAATGTTTGATTAAAAATTAATCTCTTTCTTTTAATGAAATAAAACCACTATCATGTCAATGATTTAGCTTGTCTCAAAACAGAATTAACATCTGAAGGTTGATTTTTTTTAAACTTATGTTACATTGGTAAACGTATCAGCAATTTTGGTTATTTGTGTTATATCACACAACTAAGATAATCTAAAACAGTGATAAATATTAAAAGGATTTCGGTGTATGTGAAATAAATTAAATAATAGACCTGTTTTTTCTCAAAAAGCAATTGTCCGACATTCACATGACCAGATCGCATAGCATCCATGAAGGGAGTACTTCCACAGCTGTCTTTAGCATCCACAAAATATCCGCAATTCTCCAGTAGAAATGAGGTTACATCATAACACCCATGCAGAGCTACAGAGGGAGAGATAAAGCCTTGCATGGTTAAATCATTGTTATTACTTAATAAGTGCAATTTAGAAAAAAAAAAATACCCTATTTATGTTGGTGTCCAATTCATAATTACATCCCAATTTTAAACAAGTAAGATATTGCTCTTGTCTCCACACAGTTATACAAAATGACTTTCCTCTCCATATTCCTCTAAATGGTCTTAAATTTTCACAAACATGAATACCATTTTTTTTCACTTATTCTACTTTTTGAAAAATGTTCATAAAATGATACAATGATATTGAGTGCTCACTTTGCTTCGTTAAAAAATAATGAAATAATAACATGAAACTAACCAATCCCATACATTCACTGTCGAATAATTTTGTGTTTTGTACCTGTAGTATGAAGGGGTGTTCTTCCATTTTTGCTGATGGTGTCCCACAAATTTCCACTGTACTTGTGGAAAAATTCAACAATGGAAAGAATACCTTCTCTGAAAAAGAATATGTTAAAATGTTAACAAATGAACGTTGCACTGTAAAGTGCAAGGAGTGACATTCCAATATCCTTTTTTAAAGTCTTTTATGACGAAACTTTCTTTATTTCTCATTGAAGTAGCAAGTCTCTTTGTACAAAAATGTTGGTCACTGAAACGACTGTTACATCTTTAAACCTCACAGACTTAATCTGTCTACAATTTATCAGGATAAAATGGTTTTGAAGTTTCAACTGCTGACAACATCTAAAGTTTTGACAAACATCACATTAACAATCACATTCAATAGTTTTCGAAGACTAAACAATAAAACATTAAAAACTTACCATAGTAAGTTTAATTTGAAAGCAACAACTGAATAAATGTATTTATCTCAATGTGGAGCTCTTTTGTTTAACAACTGACAAAAACTTCCTTTACAACATACCTTTATGTGTAAACAAGTTGTAATTGCAAAGCTGTCCAAGTTCAAGAGACATACCTACAAGCAAGATGAAAACTGTTCCATCCATCTTTGTTTGTAAGACCTGGATCAGCTCTGTAAGTGATGAGGGTGTGTATCACCTCTTGATTCTGTTTAGTACTGGCTAGCATCAGTGGGGTCCTATGTAGAAATTTATAACAGGTACTTTCAGTTATAGAGTACAAGTTAAATGTAAATACAGTAAGTTTTAAATAGGAAATGGCAGAAATGTTGTCTAAAAGTAAAATATTTGTCTTTAAAATATATTAATCATGATAAGTCTTCTTTTCTACACTTTTATGAATGTGGAATGAAATATTTCCAGATAATTGGATCATTTTAAACTTCCTGTAGAATTTGCAGATCAATCAAAGTATACATTAATTTAGAAACATATTTGTGATTGGGAAAATAAATTTTCACTATGTTCTGGATTGCAAGGATTCTGTTTATTAGTGAACACACCAGTCAGCCCTTTTCAAAGAGTCGACAGGTACATCTTGTGACAGCAAATACTTGACACAGTCAAGATGGCCAGCCTGTGCAGCCTCATGAAGTGGCCTCTTGCCATCAAAGTTGGGCAGCTCTAAATCTGCACCAGCCTCATGGAGAAACTTCAGTAGATGAACATGCCCCAGTCGTGCTGCATAGTGAAGAAGATTATCTCCAGATTTAGGATATGTCACCCTCAACCAGTTGTCATTGCCATCGTCATCACAACTCTGCAGTTCTTTGAAAAACTTGAGATCACCTTGCAGAGCTGCTTTAAATAATTCTTGTGTTGAGGATGGCATCTATATTAGGGAAAGTTAACACTCATTTCATTCTGGCAAAGTAACATTTAACTTGTCTATTTAACATTAAAAGATTGATCACTAATGTTTATACAAAGTCTCTAGTGAAAGGAATATTTCCACTTCTACCAACTAAGAAAAAATTGTACACTATACAGCTAGCTATCCATCAAGGGCCTGCATTCATTATGGAACACAGTAAAGTTGCATATGAAAAGTATATATGAAAATGCTTGTCTCCTCTTTGTCTTCAACATTTTTCATTTCATTGTCTTTCTGTTGGTCATTGTTAATGTATCTGCAAATAAATAAATGAAAGTGAAAAACAAAAATATTGGGAAAATCAATTGCTAGGTAAGATTTGACTGGATTCACATACATTGTATGCACGTGTTTTTCTTGATCTGATATTTACATTCGTATAAACAGTGCATCTTTGAATTTTCACTGCTTAGAATACATGTATCATATTTCATGTGTAATTCATTTTCATTTAATACATTACTCAAACCTTTTCTTAGCCAGTTAAGTTAAATTGTATTTGCATACATGCATATCGCATATTAAACCTCGGACTTTAAAAAAATCCTTCTGAAGTTATGATCATTAGGCGACAGTACAGAGCTTATCATTCAGAAGCTTTTTAATCAGAAAATGATAAACAACAATTCCTCGAAACAGTTACGTACAATATAGCGCTACGCCTCAACACTCACACCACTGTATCCATAATTGTCCATGATAATGAAAGTAGCATGGTTTATAAATAGAATGCATCGCCGTCTCCCATGTAGTACTAATCACAACCCGGGAGTATCTGTACAATCAAGTAGCGTCAGGATACTGTTGATTGTTACGGTATGACCTTTCAATAGTCTTATAAGTATTATTAACTCATGAACTGCTGACGACATATGATATTGCATTTAAACTTATTCGCTTTGTTTCATTCATGGTCTTTATGAATGCCACATGATAAAGACAAATTTGAAGGCGATCAGTGTCTTTTCCCCAACAAAATAATATAAGAAAATAATTCGATATACTTTTATCAGTGTAGTAACGCCACCAGTTTATTTATTTCAGTATTTATTTATTTATTTATTTATTTATTACGTGTGAGTTATATGACCAAACGGACACGTTCAGACCACAGTGACGTCAAACTCATAGCGCCATGGTTCAAAATTATGACGCCATCAAAGAAACGATGTAGAGTGATAACATCGCCAGTTTAGATTATCAGTCTCGTAAAACTCCAGTTTACAAAAGTATCCAAACACATTCTTATATTTGTGTGAAAAGTTTTATTCGCCACGAATTAAGGATAGTTCAAGTACATAAAAGTCATATATACATGAAAACTCATGTAATATCCTCTATACATGTTCAAATTGTATATATATATATAAATTATCAATGAAGTAAAAACAACAGTACGGACAAGCGAATTGTCAAATTTTCGAGGCAATCTGCCCCTTTATCAAGACACAAATATTACATAAATGACATCACATACATAGAACATAGAATAGATACAAAGTTATAAATCTAAAACGAGAGCGGTGGTGTAAATTTAGGTGTCTCGATAATCCCTTGGGCCGATTGGTTGGTGTTGGTGAAGGGTTTAACGTCTCCATAACAACTCCCGGCTACGGGCGTTGTTTCAATCGGCCGATGGACGCCGAAGCCCTTTTATAGCGGACAAAAACCATCCCAAGTTGTTGTATGTAAGATGGTGATTCAAATATCAAAATTGTTTATATATCCCTACTTACAGGCTGATGTTTACCCACCGCCTCTTTTATTACATGATTGCCTTGTTATTCAGTTAAAATCCGTGTCAGATGATTATAACTCATCAGTAATGCCCATGTAGTGTATTCACGCTGACATCACTTTAGATAATGAACTGACGTCACACATTCATAGATTGCATTGCTACGTAACGATGGAAGCCCTAGATAAAGAGAAAACCGTGTTGTCAATGAAAAGATGATCAAAAACTCTCTTAAATGAAATGTTTTAAACTCGTTCACAAATTCACAAATCAAATGCAAGCTAATAGAAGATCCTATATTTATCACACAAATCTCTAAACAGTGAAAAATGATACAAGGAATCTGTCAAATTTCTTCTAATTTGATATTTTGTGATAACACGTGTCGTTGTTTATCTGATTACATGTAATTTTGATACTAGGGTAGTAGCAAGTGCAAGGTATAGGGACAACTGATTTTTTTTAAATGATAGACTATTTATGTATTCTCTTTTCATTTCTTTCTTTCTTTCTTTCTTTCTTTCTTTCAACATGTTGAGAATTTCTAATTTCTAAATTTACACATATGAGTGAGCTATCCGGAGCTTGCTTTTCTTTACATCTGTCAGTGCATAGCGGGAAATACTTGTCCTTTGAGATATATACAAAGTTACTGTTCTTGGCGAGTGAACAGTTTCTTGTGCATGAAAGCCCGAGTTTGTTGAGTTTTCCGTCCGTTGTTCGCTATCGATGAAAAATTAACTCTATTACTTTCGGCGAATTATAGTTGAAGTATTCATGAAAATGTACAATTAATTTCTAATTTAAAAGCAAACTGAATTTCACCGTCAAAAAAGGTTATCGTGAAGTCAGGAGATAGTCCGTGACTGTATACCGAGAGTACGCCTTGCAGGGGTTCCCCTGGTTTCGCATTTATAACTTTTCTTTTTCTCAGCAAATCGCATATTACTTTTAAAATGAACTAGGAAGTTATCCAACAAAGGGAATTTCTTACCCCGGTATTTGTCACGACAAATCCAGAGCTTCGCATGCTAAAATATGAGCGCATATGCGTTTTGAATAATTTCTTGATATAAAAACAGTACACTTACTTCACAATAAACGAGAAAGAGCTTACGAATAACATGAGACTGTGTCTCCGTCCGGGCGACGAATTCGGCTTGTTGTAGTCAAGAACGACAACTCAATACCGCTTCAAGTTCGCGGGAGTGTTAATATTTCACGATATGATGTATATTCTCATACTTGTTTATTGACAGTAGAATTTAATTTTAAAAATGGTGTTTGATTCACAAGACATGCACATTGGGCACTAAACCAATGGTTCCGACATTGTTAAACATTGCACAGTAGGGTATTATACTCGCTATAAAACAACTTGCCTTAATATGATATATATTTCTCAATTTACAGTCAGAATTCAAGAAGGATATTGGCAGATTTTTTTTTAAAATTCGTCAACTTTGGAAATTGCTTCATCTGTTGCTATCAATTTATCAAGTTTACGTTGTAAGGCAATCAGGACTATCATTTTTGTGTACCCTGCATCGAGCGCCGGTTTTCAAACGCAGAATCTGCGTACAAAGATACGGATCTGGGGATAATTATTTAAAACATTGATTATCGTCAACGAATGAACATGTAGTCTTCCTCTCAAATACTTTTTGAAGAGTCTCCGTGTAGATTTTTCTTTTATTCACATTTTGCCATAGCTTTATTGAATTTGAGTTCAGATCTTTCAACAATCCAAACCCCCTCCCTGTCTGCCACTCTTTTGTATTACAGACAAAAGGAACCGCCAAGAATCGAAAAATGCCCATGATTCAAATGGGTTCTGGACAAACTTCCAATATTTTCATAGACATTTTTGAAATTACGTCGAAATGAATGAAGACCTGTTGTCGTCAGAACGTTTAGCCAGCGTATATAGGTCACCATAACAGATGCTTGAGCTCGAATAAGCGGATTAACATGTAGGGCTCAACAGCACCTTCGTACTTTTTTTTTTTACCTGAATCCTGCTTGTGGTATATTGTCTATAATGTAAATGTATATATAATTGAAAAAAAAATGAATAATTTAGATGTGAAGTTTAGGGATAAGTAAGTAAGTAAATAAAAAGATAAATATTTACTGATAGTGAAATATCGTGAAAAGTCGATGGTAAGCCCGTGATCATACATATAACAGCGCAGGAACGATAACTCTAGAACGAGGACGTCTGATGATAGTGTCCGCTAGTCTACTTACAGGTATTTCAGTTATGTTGTGGTAATGTTGACCATTTTGACAACACGTGAAATATTTCTACATCGCTCTTTTTACCACAAAATGGCACATGCATGCTACGATGGGTTCAAAATATAGCACGCCACACTCGTGTGTCGCGAGGCCATTTGTTTTCAGTCAAGGGTGTTTAATGTTGAGACATAATGGGATGTTCTCTGAAACTGAAGCACATCTCTTCAAAATCAGCTAATAAAGACCCGATCTGGAAAATAATTGCATACAGTTACAGTGGACAGCTGAGGCATGGTTGACGAGAAAACCGCCAACAGTACTGCCACATCCGAGACCTTCAACGGCTTCTGTCAGTGGCCGCCAGCAACCAAAGTAGCTCACAACCCTTCCCCAATGCAATGTATATACCTTAAGGTCTGATTTGTTAACATACATATACAGAAACAGAGGTTTTAACAAATAAAGCACTGTGTACTGCACCTGTGGTAGAACGTTGTGTTACGTTATACAATGTATAATGATGGATCTACTTTCGGTTTCAACAATAGAGTCTGAAAATTGATATTTATCTACTAAATTTAGTTTTTGGAATATTTTGAATTTATTTGTAGATATCAAATTATCTTTCAGATAAGTGAATAATGAGCGATATCACATTTCATACTGCCACGGGTGTACATAGAAATCTGCAGTTGATAAATACATTTGATTTATTTGTATACAAATGTATTATCGCACAATTATGCCCCTTCCAGGTATAGATAATTCCTAAAATCATGAATTGGTGATAAATGTACAGTCACTGAACTCCTCAAAATCCCAATGCAACGGTCTACAAATATATACAAATATATCTGTAAGTAATGAAGTGACTACTGGTATATGAAGATCACTATTCAAAATGTGGTCTACTGTTTATACAAATCCCCTTGTTAAAAGTTGGTAGTTATGTATTAGGAAGGAATAATGAAAAACACCCAGCCACCACTGGGGTTCGAACAACAACCCTTCAATCTCTAGCCGGACACAGTACTGCTTGACTTAAGGGAAATTCCCACTAGTCAAGGCTAGCAAAGTGACATGATCTCTCTCCTTCACAAAGTCTTTGACCCCCAAAGACAACAACAACTCAGGTTCAATGTCTCTAAGGAAGCATCTCAATCTCCTATAGCTTCTACCCCTGGAGTGGTCAACGGCACCAAATCTGTGATAGGAGGAAGTAATGAAATTCCCCTGCCACCGCCGAGGCTCAAACTAATGACCCTTCGTTCTCTAGCTTGACTAAAGGTAAATTCTCACTAGCTGAGGCTAGTAAGGGGACATATACTTCTACAGTTATAATGTCACCATGTTTGCTGTTTCAGGGAAATGGATCTGCTGTCAGGAGTCCCAGACTTCAACGTGGTGATTTCAGTGTCGTTGATTGTGGTGGTTGTGTGTAAGCTGGTCCATAGTTACCTCCAATACATCCGCTGGGCAAAGGAGTATGACCTTCTGCCTGGGGAACGGAACACACACTGGCTTTGGGGTCATTTGCACCTGGTATGTATACAGCTGGGCAATATATTTTATCAGTTAAGGCAAACATTTTTTCTGACCGTAACAGAGGTCATTATTCATTTCAATGCCTTTGCTAGGATTTGAACCCGGGACCTCTGGCTCACTAGTTTGACGCTTAACGAATGAGCTAAAGAGAGCGGTATATTGCAGCTAATAGTTACCATGGTTACATGAATATTCCACATTCATCTTGTAATAAGTCTATGTTTGGTATTTAAGAAGCCCCAATGTCTCTATTCATTACAAATTTGTTAGAAAAACCTTGAGACAAAATCTACCATTTCAAATGTTTTCTGAATGTAATTATAGTTAATTTGAGTGATGTACTGACAAATGGACATCAGACCTTACCCTTACTTTTATTTAAGCCATATGAAACATGTTACATGAATTAGTTTTCCATTACCACATGTATTCAAATGTTGTTTTTCATTAATTAAGATATTAAGTTTGTTCTTAATTTGAAGTAAATGTTATGAATTCTTGACTTGGGTATGTTGTATTAATGGTTTTGACATGCATGAAGAAAATTATTCATTTTAATGATATACAATCTATGATAAAAAATTATTGTTTCCTATTTGAACAGTATCCTGGACCCAACGAAGAGGGCTTGGCATATCAAAGGCTACGTATTAGTCAATACCCAATCTTCCATCGAATTTGGGTCGGTTTCTTTCGTTGTATATTGATTTGCCATCATCCAAAATCTGTGAAGTTTATACTCAAGTCTTCAGGTAATGTTACAATACAAAAACTTAATATTGATATGGACTCTGCCATCCGGTCAAACTTCATTAAGTCTGAAATTTGCAATTGCAAAACAAAAACCATTTAACTTTTGTTATATTCAAGTGTTATTGATTTTTTTTGTCTTGAAATGTCTTGATTATTGAATAACTGATTTTATTGAATAATCTTGTGTTTATTTGTTCTTCCTAAAATTTTCTGTAATTTGTTCTGTCTGTCATCTTACAAGAAAATCACAAAAGTGAAACAAAAATAAAAAAAATTAGAATCAGAAAAGAATCAGTCATCTTTCTAGTATGGCAAGATTAATGACACCTACTTGAAATCTAAATATCGTATCTCGAAGTGCTTATAAATACCAATTACTGGATATATTATTGAGTATTTTTTGATAGCATGTGGATGTACATTGTAAATGTTTATATGGTGTTCTTGTTATACAGAGCCCAAACCTACTGAACCTGGATCGTCCTATGTGTTGGGTAAAAGCTGGTTAGGAAATGGACTCCTTCTTGCTAACGGTAACAGATGGGCAAGAAACAGACGACTTCTGACCCCTGCTTTCCATTTTGATATCTTGCAGCCTTACATGACGGTCTTTAATGAAGTCTCAGACACTCTGCAGGTAAATAAATAAGAAAGTTAAATTATAGTTTAACAATTAAAATACATGACTTTAAAAATATAACATACACATTTGTACACTTATGCTAATGATGTTTCTGTGTACTCATGAAAAGCCGAGGTCTGCTGATGTTATCATAAGGTATTGTTACTGAAATTTTACAAGGCATGCAGCTGTCATATATATATATATATATATATATATTTCTTATCTTTTGTCCTGTAATCTGCTTAACATTATTAAGTAATTCATGTACAGTTATTGATTTTGGGATTGATTAGAAAAACAAAGTGGTTAACAACTTTTCAAATCATGGATTATTACAATGAAGTTTGTTATTACTATTTCTGGGAAGGTCTTGATGGTTCCATCTCAAGTTTTATACATATGATTCCTTTTGTCACTAGTTGTGCCGTTTAAATTTTGAGGCAGATTCAGGAAAATTGAAATGGTGGATAGGCGACCATCTTGGATTTTCAAAATGGCAGTTTTTTATTGCCATTTTTTGAGAATCACTGAATGGATCTTTCTCAAATAATATACATATAAGCAGGTTACACATTCTCTGTAGTTGTGTCATTTCTAGCTTGGGACTGATTGCAATAACAAAATGGCCAGCAGGTGACCATCTTGATTGCAGTGGATTATAGTTTTTTAATTGGACACCGAATCATTAGAAAGAGTTCTCCTCTTTCTCACTTCACTCTCTATCCTATTGTTGTTTTATACAAACAGTCACAGATAAGGCACTATGTATTTTCCTTCTTTCTTCTATTCTTTCTTTTATTCTTTCTTTCTTTCTCTTTCCCTTTCTTTCTTTCTTTCTTTCTTTCTTTTTCTTTCTTTCTTCCCTCTTTCTTTCTTTCTTTCTTTCTTTCTTTCTTTCTTTCTTTCTTTCTCTCTCTCTCCCTTCTTTCTCTTCTCTTTCTTTCTTTCTTTCTTTCTCTCTCTCTCTCTCTTTCTTTCTTTCTTTCTTCCCTCTTTCTTTCTTTCTTTCTTTCTTTTCTTTCTTTCTTTCTTTCTTTCTTTCTTTCTTTCTTTCTTTCTTTCTTTCTTCTCGTTCTTTCTTTCTTTCTTCTCTCTCTTCTCCCTCTTTCTTTCCTTTCTTTATTTCTTTCTTTCTTTCTTTCTCTCTCAGTCTCTCTCTCTCTCTTTCTCTCTCTCTCTCTCTCTCTCTTTCGTTCTTTCTTTCTTTCTTTCTTTCTTTCTTTCTTTCTTTCTTTCTTTTTTTCTTTCTTTCTTTTCTTTCTTTCCGTTCTTTCTTTTTTTCTTTCTTACTTACTTACTTACTTACTTTCATACTTACTCACACACTTGCTTAATTACTTACACCTGTACGAAATGGCTAAAATTGAAAGTAGACATATAGCATATATATTGAATAAATTTCATAATATGATTTATGTTTTTTGTTTGTTTATAGGGAAAAGTGGATGCCTGCTGTAAGAAGGGACAATCCTTTGAGCTTTTTAACTTTATTGGGATGGCTTCTCTGGATAACATACTCAGATGTGCATTTTCTTTTAAAAGTGATTGTCAGGTTTTAGGGTAAGTACCTGTAACTGAACCCTAAGTGTCCTATTTATCTAGAGTGACCCGTCTGTTTTAGTGTAAGTACCAGCGACTGACCCCTAGGTGTCCTATTTATCTAGAGTGACCCGTCTGTTTAGTGTAAGTATCAGCGACTGACCCCTAGGTGTCCTATTTATCTAGAGTGACCCGTCTGTTTTAGTGTAAGTACCAGCGACTGACCCCTAGGTGTCCTATTTATCTAGAATGACCAAACAATATACCTCTCTTTATGATGATTTTCTACACTTGGAAATAACTTTCTGAACTTTTGTCATGTGATAAATACATACAGAACTTCATGTTGGTGAGTATGTGTAAGTTTATTCAGGGAAATGCCTATTTTGTGTGTTATTTGAGTTACCAGTAGTTTGTTAGGGCCATAATTGTAAAAGTCTCTCTCTTTATAAATGAATCTCTGTATAGAGTTTAGTAGTTCATATCTGTGTAAATATTATGTGTAAAAACTTGTTTTGGAAAACCTCCTCTGTTTCAAAAACAATTGTGTAAAGATCTACATAGTGTAATACCATCTCTGTGTTAAAATTACCTGTCTATAGAGATAACTCTTCTGATACAGATCACATCTGGTACTATGTGTAAGTTTGGCAACTTTTGTAAAAACCGTCAAATATGAAGATCACCTCTGTATCTGAAAATATCACATTTTGTAATTAGAACATCTTTACGAAGCCAACTGAAATGTGAATAACTTTAAAATTAAGAGAAGTGGGTGCCCAGTTTGTCTGTTTCCACTGCATATGTATACACATAAACATCTATACATATTATTACTCTGGTGAGTTCCTGGGTCGGGTTTCACGAAAATTCTTAAGTACGTTCTCATGCTCAAATTTAAGAACAGCCAATCAGAAATGACGTTATATGATCTAACGTCATTTCTGATTGGTTATTCTCAAATTTGAGCACGAGAATGTACTTAAGAATATTCGTGAAACCCGACCCTGTTTCATTATGTCTATATACACCTGTTGGCTTTCAGCTGCTCGATAAGTAATATTCATTTGAAATAGAAAATTGGGGTTGGTGATGTGTATAAACTTGATATCTGTAAACAATGTGTTTTTAACAGACGTACAATTTCATTACATTTTCAGAGAGAGTCATCCATATGTGAAAGCTGTGAATGAACTCAGTGACCTCTGGGTCACAAGGTCATTGTGAGTATGTTGTACATATGAATTAATTGTAGTAATTTTTGTTTTAAATGTAGTTGTGAAAAGGGAAGATCCCAAATTCAATATTCTGAAGACTTGTGTATGAACCATTTCGTGAGATTCAGAGATTTGTTGTATACAAAAATGTAATTGCAGTTGGTGTTTATTTGGAACTGTGTTTTTTTCCCTCTACCTTAACTAAATAAGGGTTTTCCTTCTGTTTTAATTGAAGAACATAGAGGAATTTAACATTTTAATAAGTATAATGTACATTGGACGCAGACATAGAACATGAAAACATATATATTGTAGAAATTATTGATGATAATTTAAAATGGGAATATTACCTATTGAATTGTTTGATTTATTTTTGTCCGTAGTATACAGCTATATTTTCCTTTTACAGGAATATTTTCCATTTCTCCGACTTTATTTATTTTCTATCTGCTAATGGTCGTCAGTTTAAAAAGTACAGTGACTACGTTCATTCTGTGGCGGAGGAGATTATTCAGAAAAGACAGGAAACACTAGTAAGTGACCAAACTGCAAAATACTGGGAAATTTCAGCTTTTAGGATTTTTTGATCATACCTGAGTGTAGCTAACATACATGTCTTTGTAATAAGCCCATGTTTTCTAATGATAAGCTGATTCCTTCTAGTGATCCCATGTTTTCTAGCGATAAGCTGATTCCTTCTTGTGATCCCATGCTTTCTAGTGATAAGCTCATGTCTTCTAGTGATAAGCCCATGTCTTCTGGTGATAAGCTGATTCCTTCTTGTGATCCCATGCTTTCTAGTGATAAGCCCATGTCTTCTAGTGATAAGCCCATGTCTTCTGGTGATAAGCCCATGTCTTCTTGTGATCCCATGCTTTCTAGTGATAAGCCCATGTCTTCTAGTGATAAGCCCATGTCTTCTGGTGATAAGCCCATGTCTTCTTGTGATCCCATGCTTTCTAGTGATAAGCCCATGTCTTCTAGTGATAAGCCCATGTCTTCTGGTGATAAGCTGATTCCTTCTTGTGATCCCATGCTTTCTAGTGATAAGCCCATGTCTTCTATTAGTAAGTTGATCTATTCCTATGACCAGTTATTTATCAATTTTTCTGCTAATTTCTTCTAATAATAAGACCGTGTCTTCTAGTAATAAGCTCATCATAAATGATATATTAAATAGCAGCAAATGCTTTATTTCAATGTCTTACAATAAGCCCACTATTGATGTTTAAGTCAAACTTAATTTGTTGGCACCACCTGGGCTTATTGCTGGAAAAAATGTGGTACATGTCTGTTCTTCAGATTTTTGTCAGTGGCAGTGCTACATTTACTAAGGATATATCATCACTAGAAAGCATATTTTCCTATAATCACATTCATGAAATTTTGCACTTTTGACATATTCTCTCAACCATTGTTTATTATCATCGCTAACAGGAAAAACAGGGTCTACCTACCGGCCGAAAGTCACGATATCTCGACTTCTTGGATATATTATTAACAGCTAAAGATGAAAATAACGTTGGAATGACACCGTTGGAGATTCGTAATGAAGTGGACACTTTTCTTTTTGAAGGTAACACATTTGAAACATAGTTATTAGCAAGAGATTTGTTTTGTTATAGTCTACCTTGTGGTAGGTGATACATTGATGCTTGTGAATTTATTGTATTTTTACTAATGTTGCCACACAATTTTGAAAAAATAGGAAAAGTAATATATTAATAAAAAAAGGGATTTATTGGTTTATACATCGAGGCAGTTAAAGTTACTGTAGTTTAAATGTCTTTCTTAATGGCAGGTATTTTAATTGGTAAGCAATATTTTAATAAAGCAAGGTTTTCTCAAATCTACCAAGAACTGATGTGGTGCACTGGAAACACAATAACATCGGGAGTTTGTTGTTGTAGGTCATGACACTACAACCAGTGCAATGTGCTGGACCTTGTACTCTCTGGCCAAACACCCGGAGTGGCAGCAGAAGATCCAGGCCGAGGTAGATCGTGTCCTGGAGGGGCGTGACTCCGACTGTATAGAATGGTAAGCTGTGACTTCTCTTTAAACCATTACAAGATACAGTATATCTGTCATTTGCTTCACTTCATCATGCAGAAAATAGTTATATTGTGTTCTGAGATACAAGATATTTGTATCAAAGTAGTTAATTTATAAGTCCATTGTATCAGCAAAAGGCATCTTGATTATGTCGGATATTGAAAATGCCAGCCATTGATTTTGTGATGTTTCGTTATTGAAGACTTCTGTGTGGTGTTGTTTTTATTTATTTATTCATTTATCTATTTATTCATTCAATGAATTGATTTATTTATTTATCTCTTTTGAAGTTGAGCATGTTCATTTTTCAGACTGCTTGAAAGAAAAAAAGAAAAAGGAGAAACAGGACAGATTGTTATTTTTAATTGGATCTGTCGTTTTGGACTGTTAACAATTGTTTTTGCTTCTGAGAACATCTGAGAGATATCTTTTACATTTAGTTCTCCTTGGTTCCTAGTTTTCCATTTTCATTTTGAGAAAAAATCATATAGATTAGACTACATATCAATTTATTGGCATAAAGAATCAACTTTCAAGTTTACAACTTACAGGTCACAGAGAGTATTCATTCATTTATTTTGTATGCTAAAAGGATATGAAAATTATCATCAAAGTGAAAAAGACTTGACGGGTGGACCTCATTTTCACAGATTGAATATGAAATGGCTTGGACCATCAATGTTAGAAAAATATCATCATTCTTCACTGATGATATGTGATATATTAGGTCTGTTTTACCAGGACACTTGAAATGAAAATATCTGTTCACGTTTCAGTATGTATGTTATTCCAAAGACATTACTTTGGGTTAAAAGATATAAATGTGGTTTGGTTCAGTAGTTAAAAAATTACATGCGATTTCCAAAGCTCAAAATAAGTAGTGCCTTTACAGATTTTTAATATAATATGCCAGTTGTTGATTTTGTCTTTTTGAAATTCTGCCTGGTATAAAATGGTTTATTTTTCTTTAAAGCATATCATATGAAAAAAACATCTTCATGTTCATATGCACATGTGATATGATATATATTTTCAGGAATGACTTGGGAAAATTGGAAAATCTTACTTTGTGTATAAAGGAAGGCCTGAGATTGCACTCACCTGTGTCTTTTATACAAAGAAAAACCACACAGCCGTTTGTTGTGGAGGGATACCGTATTCCTGTGGGGACTTCCTTAGCCATTCAGATATATAATCTTCATCACAACCCAGATGTGTGGGATAAACCCATGGAATTTCATCCGGAACGTTTCCTTCCAGAGAACTCAGTGGGCCGTGATTTTTATGCCTTTGTTCCTTTTTCAGCAGGGCCCAGGTAAGAACTATATTGTATGAACAAATTTTTCAAATTCTTTAAAATCCTAATTCTTCTTATAGGAAGGAATGGATAATGCCCAAATGCTGGAGAGGGGGGCCCAATAAAAAAAACGGATTTAATTATTTCAAATTTAACTCCTCTTGTAGGAATGAATGGATATTGCACTAAATTGGTCTAAAGTAGTCTTTGGTGAAAGGGAATCTTTTCTGTATTATTGGTAGATCTGGGCCTCCTAGGGCAGGAGGGGTGGGGCCTAATAAGGGAAATCTACCAAATTCCTTAAAATTCTACTTCTATAGGAATGACTGGTGTTTGCCCAGTTTTGGTTAGAACCATCCTTGGGGAAGAAAAAACCAAGTTTGTATAAATATTGTTGATCAGCCTTCAATGACCTGAGGGGGCTGATGGGTCATGGCTCAGTGCTCATGGTTTTTACCTGTGATTTAATGCAGGTTTCTGATTAACATGTGAAAACATGGCACAGACAGGGGCATGTTTACAGTATACCATATTTTCCAGGTTATAAGCAGCGGCTTTTTCATTGGAAATGACTTCATGTAACTTACAAGAAATGATATCGGGCTATAAAAATAACAACACAATGGTTACCATATTGTAAGAAAGGGTGTGAACTTAAACTCAGGTGTGGTTTAAAGCCCGGAAAATATGGTACATGTACCCGACACACCTGGACACTGACTATCTCAGATTAATGCATCAAAATAATTCACCCCTCCCTCACTGACTGGTAGTTATTATGTTTTATTAAAGACCTTGTTACACCAAGAACAGGTCTTAAGAGATGTGAAACACAGTTGACAGGGTAAGGATGTAATTAGGAATTTTAAAAATGGACTATATCAAAACCTTTAACTTCATATATAGGTTTAAGGTTTAGAAATTTGTTATCAAATATGTGTACAGTCATGTTTTTGAAACAAATTATTGCAAGAAGAAGGAATTTAAAGAATATTTGATTTCATGAAAAACTTGATACTTAAGATAATTAATATTGGATGTTTTACAAACCATTGCTAAGTGTGAAGCTATCAATGTATGTGATATGGAAAAGTTACAGGAGTGGTTAAGAAGTACAGAAATGCTTTGATGAAAGTATGACACAAATACTATAGATGCATGTGCTATGAATTTGTAGAACACAACATGTGTACCACTCTGTAATCTTTGTATGAATATGTTAATTTGTTGTATTATTGAATTTAATACTTTTAGACAAAATTTGAAATGACATGATAGTTGTTGAAAACAGGATATGGTTTTCTTTTTTAGAAATTGTATTGGTCAGCATTTTGCCATGAATGAACAAAAGGTCACACTTGCCCGACTTCTGAGAAGGTAATTTGATACAAGTTGATATCGACCACTTTATAATTATCTTATATATGTGTATAATTTGTGTAATGTAATGTAACAGTTGGAACACAGGGAGGCATGTAACCTTATATGATAAAGTTTATGATAAATGATATGTATGTACATGTATATGTGAAAAAATATAATTTTTTCTCACTGTCTGCATTTAAATATGTTTATCATCACTTATATATTTGATATAATACTATACATGTCCCTTTGGTTGGATAAAAGCATAGAAGTATTTTGCACATCTTCTTATATTTACAAATACTAATGATAGGAGGTGGGAGACGCTGCTGGTGGACTTTAAGTCCCCGAGGTTTGCCATAACCTGCTTGCCACATTTTAATTCATTCAAATAGTGCCACAGTTCAGAAAATACACATGTACTTGATGGTGTTCTAAAATTATCTGATGTGTGAAAATTACAAGATTTAGCTCATTATAGGGCTGCTGCACCTCCTATCTAGATTTTGACCTTTCTTTTGATCACTCTGGATCTTTAAAAATAAAACTGTTATTTTTCTTCACAAGCAGTTAACAAAGTTTGTAACAACCATAATCTGTGCACACCTAACACAGACATGTATGATTCACATGACCAGTACATCTTTTGTTGATAAAGAGTTGTGAGGTTCCAGGTTTAAATCTCATGTGTCTTATTATTATTTCTTTCTCTTTTATACCAGTAAGATGTTTAAAATACAAACAAAGACATTTTATATTTGGAACTTGCAGTTTGTGTTTTCTCCAGTAAAATCTACCATTTTTCCATGAATGTCATACAATGCTAATCCATAAGCTTAAATGGTGTATGAATCCAAGATGTAATAGCCCATTTACACACAACATCATAAACTCACCTTCCAGAAGGGCAAGTGAGCTTGTGCCGTGGCGTGCGTCTGTTGTCAATTTTTCTCTTTAAATAACTTCTTCAGAAAAAACAAATGGCACAGGGCACTGATATTAGGCATGTAGCATGCTGGGCTGAAGAGCTACTGGGTTTGTTCAAATGAATGACCTTGACTCACTTTCAAAGTCCCAAGGATCAAGAATGTTGAAATAGTTATATGGCTTCATTTTGATAACCAAAACGCCAAGGCTGATTTCGGCCTGTAGAGCATGCCTTAGGGAAAGGTTATCAAGATTGTTCAAGTAAATACCTGGATCAACTTTCAAGGTCACAGAAATAAATGTGTCAAAAATCTTCCAATGGCCTGGTTGCTGATATTGCATGCAGCAAACTAGGATGATGGGCTGCAAAGTTTGTTCAAATATTTGACCTTGACTACTTTCAAGGTCATAGGGGTCAGATGGGTAAAGAACTTGAAATTTATGCTTTTCATCATGCTATTGCATGCAACAGTATCATACTGAAGAAACAAGCTTTTCAGTTTACAGAAATCATTTCAACAAACCGACAAAGTCTTTTGTGTAAGCTGCAACTACTGATACAACGTAGGTGGTAGGTTCTCGTTGAATATCAATTATGTCTCAATTGTTTTCCAATGATTTGAGAATTCTCATTTATTTTTTCATCAGATTCACCCTTGAGCTTGACCCTGATCACAAAGTAGCAAAGAAAATTGGCATTGTGATGCGTGCTGCCGATGGCATCAAAGTTTTCGCTAGACCAAGAAAAGTTTGATATGGTGTTTATATCATCATACTGGCCAAAGGAAGATGCAACAAATGTGTTGTTGATGAAGGATTTGTTACAAGGAAGGCTCTATACAAACACTGTATATATTAATGTGAAAATTATGAGATAATGAGATTGAAAATTTGTAAACCAAATTTTACAATTATTGGTTAGTGTTGAACTCTGATTTTTATATATGTATAATGATATAACAAGTTAATGAAATATCTACATATAGTTTGTTACTTAATATGGTAAGGAAACCATAGATTTATTTATAATCATGATACTCGCGTTTTATTAGAGAGACAGGTGTTTAGCATTTTTTTTACTGATTTCAGGTTTTTTTTAAAGAATTTTACCTAAAGAAAGGACTTTAAAATTCCAAGTTTCAGGCATTTTTGCGTGTAGGCCAGTTCAAATTTTTATTTAGAGATCAGGATTTTTACAAATATGCACTACAAAAAACAGATGCTATGTGATATTTGATAGACTAATGGTACCTTTCTAGGTCGCCTGAGCCGAAGGGGGCGCTCAAAACGGTCAAAAATTCAACTTTGACCAATTTCAACCAAATTTGGTAGAAAGCATCCCTTAGTGAAGACCATATGAAATTATGTTGAAAAAAAGTGATTATGTGCCCTTTGGGGCCCATAAGGGGTGTAAAAGGGGCCATATGTAAAAGCCTTCTTTAAATGATTTCTTCTCAAGAACCATTGAATGGATTTTGACCAAACGTGGCACAAAGCATCCCCTTGTGAAGCCGCTTTAAGTTTGCGAAGAAAAAGGGTGTGGCCCCAATAAGGGCCGCAGGAGGGGGGAAAAAGGGGGTAAAATTAGGTAAATTTTTAAAAATTTCTTCTCATGAACCAACAGTCAGATTAAATTCATATTTGATATTTAGGGTCCTTATGGCAAGGTCTACAAAGTTTGCGAATGAAAAAAAATTCGGGTCAAAAACGGCCCCACTAGGGGGCGCTCAAAGGGGTCAAAAATTAAACTTTGACTGATTTCAACCAAATTTGGTAGAAAGCATCCCTTAGTGAAGGGCATATGAAATTATGTTGAAAAAAGTGATTTTGTCCCCTTTAGGGCCCATAAGGGGTGTAAAAGGGGCCATATGTATAAACCTTCATTAAATGACTACTTCTCAAGAACCAGTGGATGGATTTTTACCAAACTTGGCACAAAGCATCCCCATGGGAAGCCGCTTCAAGTTTGCAAAGAAAAAGGGCGTGGTCCCAATAGGGGCCCCAGGAGTGGGGAAAAGGGGAAACTAGATAGGAATGTTCTACACAAGGTCCTGGCAAGTGTTTTAACTTTTCGGGGCGATTCAAAATCCAAGATGGCCACCCTGGCCTCTGTTTGGCTAAGACATTATGGACTTCCTCTCAAGAACCATTGGGTGGGTCATGTTCAAACTTGGTACAGATGTTTTACACATGGTCCTGCACAAGTGTTGTTACATTTTTGCAACATTTTAAAATCCCCAGATTATTGACTGTTAAGGCCCCTTGGGCCTCTTGTTTAACTTTAACAGGTTTTTAATTTATCAATTGTCAGTTATATGTACCGATAATGTGCCGTGATATGAATGTGTTGTAAGTTTCCTCAATCCAAAGACAGGAAAATTGACAAATTACAAATGTATTTGTAAACATTACTTGCCACAAAGAGACATTTGTCTGATACAATAAAAGCGTCTACCTGGTATATATATCAGTCTTTTGAAACAAATTTACACCATGTTGTGGTCTCTTAACGAAAGCAGTGCCATAAATTGTATTTTTTAATTGTAAAGTTTTATACAGTATTACATTAAACATCCCTGTTTTATATGGTAAAATGACTCATGACACAAATTTTGATTAGTAATCATAATTCAAAATGGAAAAACATTACCTGGTTTTATTAGTTTAATATTGAGAGAATTACATTGTAAAGAACCAAAGAAATTATTAATTTGATTGTGTGTAACTTTTGATTTGTTTTGTAATCGTTACTTGTCTTTTGATGATTGAATATTAATGTTATGCAATGTGTTTTCTTTGCACCTTGTTAGCCTGTTGTCCATATAATGTATGATGATGTATTCATGTTATGATGGTTCAGTGTGATAGCACTACATATTGATGAAAGTGCCATTTTTGGGACATTAACACTCTAAGAATGTCCTCTAGTGTTGTGAAAATATACACTATAAAAGAACTTCTGGGTAACCATTGTGAAGAATTGTGCATAAAACCTCAGACAAGAAAAATATTTGTATCTCTGTATTATCTATGGTATTATTATCTATATACTTAAATCAAGTGGGGACTACTTTTGCAATGGAGCACAATGATAGTATAAGTATCTGGACAGCCAGTGGAATCTGCTTAATATCATGTTTCATTTGTCTAGGGGAAATGTGATAATAAGTGGAATGTGACATTAGCAGTTGTTTAAGAAACGTAAAGTTTAAAAATTTGGCCGGTAGGGCAGTGACAATGTTTACATATGGCCTCAAGATGTGATGCATGACCCTTGAGGCATGAATCTGTAATATTTTTCCTCACCTACTTGTGATTTACCTGTGGTGATTTTGTGATAGTCATCAAAATGAAGTGATATTCAGTGTTGCTCACATGAAAATATGTGACATTATCAGATGCTGGATTACATAGAATATATTGGAAAAATAATCAGTTTTTCAAAAAAAAAAAAAAAAAAAAAGTGAAATTAACTGGAAAGTGACATTAACTGACATGATATTAAGTAGTTTCCACTGTAATGCGTTGATATTTTAGTACTTTGTTAATAGCCATTCCAACCATGTAGTTATCAATGAATTTGAAGCATGTTATAGTAGATATTTGCATGTTAAACGATTTGTTTGGTTTACTCTTCAGAACAACATTTTGTTGATTTTAAATGAAGGTTTCTGTAGTGATGTGGAAAGAACTTTCCAAAGATATGCTTTTCAGAGAAAGTAAGTAAAAGCATAATGTAATTTTGTGTTTGTTAAGAATAATTTCTCCTGTTCTTGAAACGATATATGGTGTGGTTAAATCTTGAGCCAAGTCTTTTGAGTTTTATGTCAGCATCTAGTCTCCTTTTTAAATTGTCACATGTTGAAATCGTTGTTCTTTTATTGTACAGTTATAGTACAAATCTTCTGAGTGAAATATGGGTTAAAATTTTATTTGTATGAATTATATAAAATTGATCCCAAAGTAGTTTACAAGTGAATTTATTAATGTCACAAAATCTAGTTTTATATTTGGATTATTATTGACCTGTTAAGAAAACATTGGTCACAACTTCAATATATACTATGGTAAGTGTTATTGATAAGTTGTTTACATTTTAAAGTTGTTTTTCACAAGCTGCTTTTCTCATCATGGAGTGTATTTTGTTAAATTAAACTTTGTGACTGCTAGTGTGCTACTATCTATAATATTAAAATATAGAACCTTCTGTTTAATAGAAAGTATTTTTTTTTCTCAGTTGCATATACTTTGGATACCTCAAAAACGTTCAACAATGTGCCAAGATAGATGATTAACTATCCTGAATAGTGACATCTATTGCACTTTCAACAATTGATGACAGAAACTTACCTATGTTAATCTCATGTATTGTCTTAGAAAAAATTTCATTTTGTGTGGCCCTACCAGGGGGATGTCATATAGCATTGCCCATGTTCGTCTTGTCCCATCCTGTTGCATCCCATCCCATCCCGATTCCATGCAAGCACCAAACAACTTCATATTTTCGTAGATTTTGGGCAAATTTTATACAAAGGTTAATTATGTCTATACTTCAGGCATTATTATGTTTTAGGGGCCCCAGGTCGAGACCAAGGTCAGTAGTGCTTTTAATACAGACAATATTATCTAGTTATGTTCCGGCCACTTAAGAGTGGGCGGGATGGGTGAAGGGAGAGACATTTACCCATATCTATCAGTGACCTGTTGTGTTGAATCCTGTCCTATTCCATTCTGAATCAATCTCATTTCTTTGAAGCTCTCAACTTGTTGGGTCTATATTTACCCCTGAAGTCATGACATCATCTTCTACATGTTGTATTTAGATGGTCATCAGTCAAGGTTAAAGGGTCATGTGTGACAACTTGTCCAAATTAATCACACAATGATATATGTACATGGAAACAGGGACATTAATATCTTGCATGTTCTAGTTTTTCTATATATGAAACACGTCAAAGATATTGTTACAATTTCCTGTGAATAATCTACAAATGACGTTTCTGATAATCGGAATCACTAGCAGTATTCAAACTGACTGGAGCTTTGAGTACAAAGGAGTCAGTCCAACATGGTAGTTCTTCTGTATACTTGATGTTTATTGCTGAGCATTGTTGACTGGAGCTTTTGTCATATTAACAAAATCCTCTAGTAATGTGAACTCACCTTTCTACTCTATCAAATATGTTGTGTATCTTAATTACTCTGTCATAATGCACAAGTTACAGATTTGAAACCTTAGGAGTAAAGTCAATTAATTGTATATAGTTGAAATGTACTTTTGTGTTGTGTATTTAATTTTACATGAATCAGTAATACTTACATCATTTGCCCAAGTACTCAAACTTTTGATTTAAAATAATTACTACAAGCTTTGAAGATTTGTTCATATTTAAATTACTATATCTATATTAGTGTTGATTTTGTAATGTTATATCTGTCAGGTGTCAGTTATACATTGTTGGTTCATCTACACACAATCAGATGTTGTGGTACAATATTTTACTACGTTAGTAGATATTATCTCTTACGTTATGAAAGAAGTCGGTATTGTAAACATGAAAAAAGTTGTGTTATATAATAAAAACATAGGAATGGCTACAATAAAGAGTACCAAATGTCCACGGTGTTATTATATTTACATGGGGGAAATCATTTTGTGTTTACAATGGTTTAAGTCATGTGCTGATGCAACTAGTGTGTGTGTACCTATGGGAAGGGTGAAGAGTCATACTGTCTCAGCAACCATATAAATATACCATGTTACTATTGGTATTCCATAACCAGTTTACCTAATTTTAGTCAAAAAGCAGACATTAAAAATATACATCATTTTCCATGTAATCTGATGACAACAAGACAGTCCGTAAAACCAACGAATGCTCTACATATCCAAATTTTTTTGAGACAAAATGTTAACAATGGGCAATAACTCTGTAATTAAGGGGTTGCAGGCCCTGAATTTGGTACACCGCACATTGTCTTATCATGACCAATGTACACACCTAACTTTCATTGACCAATGTACACACCTAAGTTTCATTGACCAATGTACACACCTAAGTTTCATTGACCAATGTACACACTTAAGTTTCATTGACCAATGTACACACTTAAGTTTCATTGACCAATGTACACACTTAAGTTTCATTATCCTATCTCAAATGATAGCAAATTTATGCCCTGAAAACATAATTTTTAACAATGGACAATAACTCTGTAATTAATGGGTAATAACTTTGATTTTGGTACACTGTACATCACCTTAATATCATCAACGTTTAAATTTTGGGAAGCATAAAAATCAGATATTGGCAAATACCATGTTATAGTGTACAGTCTGTCCTTCTATGTTTAGAACTATATATGGGCCTTTGTAAATCTTAAATGATATTTATGATTCTGGACTGTTTGCAATACTTTTGCTTATGATCATACATGTGTATTGTGGTTTTAATATCACTTTGATCTTGACAAAAGTATTTTCATGTTTTCATGTGACTATTACGATAGTGTACATAAAACCAGGCACTTCGTAAGTAAACTATTTGATATTTCTGAAATATGAAGATCATAATTGGTCCACATTATTACTAATATTTTTTTTTTTTTTTTTTTACAACTATCTCTCAGTACTGTCCAGTTGACATTACTCATATATAGAAAATCTTAAGAGCTGACAGAGGCTGAGAATGGCCATTAGTAGATTCTAATTTTTTTAAATCCTATTTCAGGTACAAATACAACTATTTGAATCTGCAAGCTTTGTTTTCCAATCTTAAAACAATTTTTACATAACCGATATGAAATGTTTCCCTCACCCCACGACATAGAAGACATGCAATAAAACATGAAAGTGACCTTTGACCTAGGAATAACAACCAATTCCTTTCTGTTAGAAACTCAGTGTTCTATGATATCATTTCCACTATCAATTGAAAATAATTATTATATAAATATCTTCAGGATGTACATAAAGTTCTGTTAGTATGAACAAGAGTGCCGTGGACACAATATACGCCGTCACAAAATATAAAGATTAAGATTGGTCATTTTAATTATCGCTTTTAACATGTCTGTATACATAAGCTCAAAATGAAGTCTGTGAGACCAGTTAGCTTAGCTGGAAGAAATTGCCCCATCATGCACATCTACCCATTGTAGTAGTGACATTGAGCAAGTTTCGTGAAAATCTGATGATCAGTTTAGGAGGAGTTGCGTTCACAAGAAATGGACGTACGGACGGACGGTATGACGGCCAGAGAAGATGACGCCAATATACGACCGCCTCTGGCGGCTTATGAAAACTAATTGTTTATGATTGCATATCAAAACACTAGAATGGGTTTTTCTTTTTAATTCCATGATGCAGAAAATAACATGACTATTTCAGAGTAAACACTTGTTGAATGAAGCCCTTCATATCCACACCTAAATCTTCTAATAGAGAAAAGACAACATTTGAAAATATTATTTTTTTAATCGTTATTATATATTGAAGGTATGGGAACATAGATATTATAATGATACTAAATTTTGTACATTAAATCAATTATTTTACATCTTAAATTACATTTAATATAATATACATTGAAACCAAAAATGAAAATAATTGTTGTTATATAAATTAATTTTAGTGAAATATTGCTCAGCTATTTATAAAATCATCCATAAAGTCACCATGATCTTTCATTCATTCATTTGTTTAACAACATGTAACAGAAGATGGACATGGACATGTTATTAAGACTTGTAACAGAAGACAGACATGGACCAGTTATCAAGACATATAAAAGAAGAAGGACATGGACCAGTTATCAAGACATAGAAAAGAAGAAGGACATGGACCAGTTATTAAGACGTATAACAGAAGATAGACATGGAAGACACATAACAGAAGACATACTTTGACTGGTTATTAAGACATATAACAGAAGACAGACATGAACCAGTTATCAAGACATATAACAGAAGACAGACATGGACATATAACAGAAGATAGACATGGAAGACACATAACAGAAGACATACTTTGACTGGTTATTAAGACATATAACAGAAGACAGACATGGACCAGTTATCAAGACATATAACAGAAGACAGACATGGACCAGTTATCGAGACATATAACAGAAGATAGACATGGAAGACACATAACAGAAGACATACTTTGACTGGTTATTAAGACATATAACAGAAGATAGACATGGACCAGTTATCAAGACATATAACAGAAGACAGACATGGACCAGTTATCAAGACATATAACAGAAGACAGACATGGACCAGTTATCAAGACATATAACAGAAGACAGACATGGACCAGTTATCAAGACATAGAACAGAAGACAGACATGGACCAGTTATTAACACAAATAAAAGAAGATAGACATGGACAAGTTATTAAGACTAAAAAATCTAATCATACATTTATGAACGCTCAAAGAGGAATTTTTGAGAAATGAAACTGTATCTGATGTTTATAAACCATTTGATGTGAAGGTGACTTTTTGAAATTCTATAGTCGAATGTTAGTCACAGCAACTGTTCTAGTTTTGAGTTGAATTTTAAAATATTAACAACTTAGTGTAAATATTAAGATATATCACTATCTGTCTAGATAACAAAGTATCCAATATGTTTTACACTTTTTTCATAAAGTTTTAAGATATAGGCCTACCCAACTTTTCCCACATTTTTGATTCCTGTTAAAGAGCTTAATTGTGTTTCATAAAGGGAAATACATATAACACTGCTAAAAATTGTAAGAGCAAAAACATTTTTCATTTCATACTCTCATACAATTTCTTTAGAAGCTTTATACTTTAACAAACATACAAATAAAACCATAACACTGGAATGCAGTTTTCAGAAAATGTTTGTAAGAGGAAACATTTCAGAATTTAATATGAGCAGAAAAGTTTTCAAGAATGAAGAAATGACAAACTCACTTGATAAACTGTGATACCGTTCTTTCATTCTGCCTTCCTTCCCCCTGCCATACATCTATATTTGGCACATATTTTAAATATTAAAACTGACAACACATGCATCACTCATTAAATGTACCCATTTATAATGAGTACTTGTAATAAATATTTACTAATTTTAGCGATCTATTTATAAGAGATATCAATTGCTTCGACAACCATCAGTTACAACCAACGTACTCTGGAATAAATTCTGACATTTCATGTCAAATAATTAATTTTCCTCATTAAATTATTCATAAGATATGCTTGTATTTGCAATATCCTGTCACCTTACATGATTACATCTAACAGGTATTTTTACTTCAATCTCACAATACTTCTTCTTATAACACTAATTACTATATTATATATTTAGCAGACTTCAAATTCAAAATATGATTTCTGTAGAACAAACTCAAATCAGAGGTACAGCTTAATGACAATGACTGTTAGACGTCAGCGATATGATAACACACTTGGTACATTAGTTGTCATTCCTCCAGGCCTAGTTCTTATGTTAATTTTCATTAAAGAAAAAACACTAGCTGTTACGCAATTGTGAATAAGCATTGTTTTTCATTATCAATCCAATTTAAATGGTTCATTACTTCTGTACAAATTGAAGGAGTTAAAATGAATTCCTTTAAGAAGTAAACAGCTTGGTCTACATAGTTTTTATAAGCATTTAACATTCATGTGCTAGTTCCTGGTGAGAAGAATAATATACAGTATGAAAACTTGTGATCAGCTGGTCTTATTCTATACACTTAGTCATGGTTTTGGTGTGTATTTATATATATATATATTTGTGAAGCATGCACATTCTAATTTACAAAGTAATGTTCTTCGGTTTCCAGCCAACTACCTGATGTCGCTCCGAAGTCCTACAGTAATCTTGTAAAACCTTGGCTTTTTTTTAACTATCGTGCTTCGTAATGGAAAGTATGGTATATAGAATAAGACATCTATATCAAATTATATACTCAAGTGAAATTTAAACAAGATATATAACAAATAAAAAAATCTTTTCAGTGATACTGTTCAGAATATTGGGCAAATGGTTTTGTATGCAATGTAATTTACAGGAGTTACACATCATGAACAAACTCATCCTATACAGGAACACCTATCATAAGTCAAGTTATACATTAATTAAAAAAAATCATCACAGATACAACAGAATGAAATCATAAAGTGAAAATGATACTAAAATAATTGTAATCATACATTTTTACCATATCTAAAGCAGTATACATAATAAATTTTATCCCTCAATTTGGAATCTCATTGTTCTGTTAAGAGCAGCTGGTGAACCTTCACGTTGACTTTAGATTTTCAAGAATGACAATAATTGTAAAGGGTGAAGATAAAGTACACAGTACATGTAAATCTTATTGGTTTATGTTCACCAGGCAAGTTATCATTTTGCAGTTGTCTTGATTGCACTTTAAAATCAGGAAAATACATCCTTTTCAAAAACGTCTATATAACAAGTTTTCCTTTTTTGTCTATCATTATTTTTTTGAAAACCAATTTTTCTCACTATATGTCAGATTCCTACGGATATTCAAACCAGAAGGTCAATATGTCAGTTCACACAGACAGCACTTTAATTTGTTACAACAACTATTTACAGCAACTGCACATTATAAGAGATGTGCTCACATACACCATAAATGTCACAGCAAGATGATATATCTGGATGTCCACTTATATACCAATTAGAAAGATATCTCCAGATATCTGATACACAATCATAGTTACAAAGCTATCTCCTGACATCTGTCCACCCACTAACAAACACAAGGATTTAACTCCAGATGTCTTACCAAACACAAGGATATCATATTCTCTAGATGTCTTTCCACATACCAAATATAAGAATATCTCTGAAAGTCATTTCACAAACAGACAAAAGAAAACCGCCTATCACTGTTCCCACAGACAAAGATTAAAATGAATGAAACTCTTGTTTCAGTCAATATCACATGTAGCACTATTTTCTCCTCCCTCTCCAACATGCTAAACAAAAGTATTTCTGTTCCCACGGATACCAACTTTTTCAGCGAATTGATCCAGTAACATTCCGATTCCGCCAGCATCCCGACCATGCTTACTTACTATCTTGTTAGCATATGCATTGTGGAATATTTTTCTAACAGAGTCCAATTTTTTCCATCGAGTTGTTTCTTGGAGCTCTGTTGCTTCACAACATCTATAAACAAAAGGTAGTTATATAAGATATGTAGATGATTTTGTTCATGTACTTTTTATCACAACCTATACCTGTTAGGTATTATACACTAAAAGCAGATATTGAACAAACAACATCATAGAATAAGAAAAAAAAACATGTGATGTATAACAGAAATATTTTTTAAACTTCATGTTTGTTTTTCTTGCTACAGGCAATTATGAAATACAGCTGAACCATATTGTGAAAAGAATTGTGGTGTTGTTAATATACTCACGAACTGAGCCTACTACTAGAAGCAGAGCTATCTGTGAGGGAACCGAAGGACTGAGGAGAGTCGCTGGAGGTGGCATAGCCTCGCAGACTACCCGTACTGGATATTACCTGCCAACTGTGTACATAGATGTTTAATACATTTCGAACTCAGCATAAAGGACAAGTGTCAATGATAATACACAAGTAGGGCATATTCAGATATATATACTACTATGTGGCTCATTTTTTCTACTTTAAAAACATTACTAATTTCTTTTTAATGTTCTTTAACAATGCTTGTATTCCCTAACTACCTACCTGGTAACTTCTATCTCTTAATGTTGAATGCAACATATTTTATCCTTAATTTGAACTGATTTTAAAAGGGTTGTTTTGAAAATAAAAGAAACATTTTTTTCAAAAAATGATAAAACACAATATATAAAACCTAAAATATTTGTTGCCTAATCCGAGAGGAATTACTGACCTTCCACACGCAGGAGAGCTTGCCCTGCCAGAATCTGTAAGATTCCGGACACTGCTCGGGACGGCCACGGGACTAGAGGAGGATCCAGAGGGATGGGACACATGAAAGTGGACAGCCCCTTCAACACCCGGCCTCAGTGGTGTCTGTCTGTGGTGTGATGGCATCACAACCGTTGGGCTCCTGTCCGAAAAAAAAAAAAACCAGTCATCACAGATCTTATTCATTCAAGAATTCAAAATTGAAAACCTTAATATGACGTCATGTGACTCCATTCTGAGTGTAGCATTTTCAGAAAAAAAACCCATTTTTCCGTCATCAACAGCTTTTATAATTACATATGTAGTAAATATTTATTGAAAATACATAATAAACAGTGCAGGTATATAACACCACCTTGAGCAGGGTGAACTTACGGCATTCCAGGTGTAAATGTGTCTTCCTCAGAATTAAGATGAAAAGTAGCCAGCGCTGGATCCTGACAAAAACTACCTACACTACTAATACTGGTGTTGCTGCCACGGTAACTATGGCGACGAGGGTCAGTTTCTGTAAACACATGCGTCATGTTTCAATAATAATGCACTTTTCAAAATTGATGATAAAGTTCATGCAAACACAATCACTAGAAAGAAAAAAAAATAACAAAAAAAAAAACAAAAAAAGAAACGTATTTTGATTAAAATCAGGAACAATATTGTCTCTATAACTGCTATACAAACAAGAGATCCCAGAGGGATCGTGGCGCCCACCCTTTGAGGATCTATTTTGTTTATTTTTTTTGTTTGTTACAGGTGTTGTAAATGTTCATGAACTGGTCTTCATTGAATGTACTCAATGATGGCACAAGATATTTTTATTAAGCACTTATTAGCAAATATCATTTGAAAAAGATCCCAAAGTATTATTAGATAGCAGTCAGTTACAGGTGGATAATGGACAATATGTTTGTCGACATCCAAGATGGCCACCTGTCGGCCATCTTGAATTCGAATCAGTCCAAAAAAAGTACAATGCACAACTAGGGACCAAGGGGAAACTGCATATGAAATTTGAGGAAGATCCATCCAGTACTTTCTCAGAAATAGCGGTAACAAACTTTTACTTCCAAAATCCAAGATGGCCACCTGTCGGTTACTTGAATTTGAATTAGTCCAATAAAGGTACAATGCACAACTAGGGAGCAAGGGGAAACTGCATATGAAATTTGAGAAAGATCCATCCAGCACTTTCTCAGAAATAGCGGTAACAAACTTTTACTTCCAAAATCCAAGATGGCCACCTGTCGGCCATCTTGAAATTTTACGAAATAGCGGTAACAAAATCAATCCAAAATCTGTCGGCCATCTTGAATTCAAATCAATCCAAAAAAGGTACAATGTACAACTTGGGACCAAGGGGAACCTGCATATGAAATTTGAGAAAGATCCATCCAGTACTTTTCCAGAAATAGCGGTAACAAGAATTGTTTACGGACGGACGGATGGACGGACGACGGACCACGGACGCAAGGTGATTTGAATACCCCACCATCTGATGATGGTGGGCTAATCAAAATGTAATTGTTCAAGGATACAAGATAAAACTAGTTTCCAGAAAGGTATTATCATTATATACAATTTCTTTCTGCTACACCTCACAATGATACATTGGAAGAAAGGTGTTATTTGAACCTAAAGAAATTACTATCTATCATCAAGTAGTTGCTTTTTAATGTCGGTTAGCTTTAAAAAGAATTTTTTACATTTCATCAAAAATCTTCTTCTTCTCTCTAATGGTAAATTCCTATTTCTTTGGCTCATTCACACAAGGAAGAGATGTATATTTATAAAGGGAGGTAATCTGGACTTACCAAGTAAAACACCCTCCATATTGCACTCTGAATCTGTCCTGCTAGGTTTCCTAATGTCACTGCGGAAGAGAATTATTACACAATTATGATACTGACCACCAGGAATCTAACATAAATGTATTTGTCAACACTTACCTCTAAATCTCATGGCAATCAAAACCTCAATCAGAATTTAATTTTGAATTTGATTTCAATGATTTTGTAACAGACTTCAACTAGATGAGATGAAAAAAATTCAAAATGATTTTACATTGATTATACCGACAGTTATGTGTACAATCATGTGCTTGTATAAAAAAAAATATATATTTTTTCAATGAAATTAATATTTTTTGTTTTCTTTTTTACATTTTATTACATCATACCATGACAAGGACATATATATCCGAACATTTACTGTTATATTATGAAGCTTGTACCTTTTGCTGGACACAGAAAATTCCTCTGAAGACATATAAGTCAGGAAGTTAAAGCAAAAGAATAAAATCTGAAAAAAAAAAAAGAAAATACTACAGTTACTTAAGGCTAGAACATGTGTACATCAATTTACTGGCCTTTCTCACACTACCTGCTTTGTTATATATTGCTTGGTACAAGATAACTGCTTCACAGAACGCTTAATCAAACGACGACCAATTATTAAATATTATTAAAATTGATATTAAATCAAACTTAAAAATCTTTAATATCAAGATATGCACTAAATATCTCCTGAAGGAAGAATTATTTTACAGCAATGAATTACAAGTCCAAGGTCCGTATGTAACAGAGGTCATTATTTATTTCAATGCCTCCGCTAGGAATCGAACCCCTGGCTTACTAGTCTGACACTCAACCCATCAAGCTAAAGAGAAGTTCTCTTTAGCCAAGCAGTATTTTGCGGCTAGTATTTTACCAGGGTTACACATATTAATGAACAACCAGTTAAAAATGACTTCAACATTTATAAGAAACTAATATTACTGTAAGCAAGCACATGTCTTATTAAAAACAGAAGAAATAATCAATTTAGTATCATACCTCCTCTCCTTTATTCACTCTGTCCGGTAAACTATGTCTGAAAGACATCAGAAGTTACAGAGTGAATGACATATAATGTAGCTTAGTAGAAGACATAGACATGTATAAATACTGAAATTAATTGTTATACATAATAATTAAAACTATACCTTGGTCAAAATCCTTGCGGCTATAGCTTATTATGGTTACTTTAGCAGATAAATGGAAAATTCTGATGCATATATTAAGAATATCAAGTTTGATTATGTCCTTTTACTATTGTTATCAATGTAGTATTGTTAAAAAAAAAGGGAAAAAAACACCTGTTCTATGTTTCCTTGTGTTTTATCGTGACTTAAGTTCCTATCATGCCTGTGTTTATATAAATAAACCTGAAAACACTTTCATATCAATTTATAGTTCTTAATCTCAAATCAAACTGTAGCAATAAAGAATGAAATTATGGTAGTCAATGGCCTTACCCGAAGAGGTACCAATCATAAGCAAGTGTGAGGTAGAGTATTTCAGTGGGGTTGAGAGAGGCGTGTGCAACACCATCAGCCCAGAGGGAGATCCTGAGGAGGGAGATAAACATGGGGGTGCGGTCCCAGCCTGATATACAGTGGACAAGTACTCCTGTGTCACCTGTAATAAACAAATAATTTATACACTATCAGGTCAGGGCTCTCGATCTGCCAGATTTGGGGTCGATATTCGGCCCCATTCCCAATGCAAAATAGTATCTTTTTTTCCCAATTTAGACCCTAAGTTTTCCCAATTCTAAGGGCCCCGGGCCCCAGTCCCAAAATAGGGTGTGAAAGCTCTGCAAGTAAACAGTCCAGCCTGATATACATTGAATAGCACTTCTGTGTCTCCTCAAGTTACCTACAATGTAACCAAGTAAACAAAAAACGTCCAGCCTGACGTGTAATGGAAAATTACAAGTCAGGGCTATAAATCCTTTCAATTTAATTGACTGACAATTATATCTACCATGGTATATTCCTTTCCAAGATATGGCATCTTGTGATTTTTGACGAAAAATTTGAATGTCTGTATTTAACCATTGCTGTAATGAAGCAAATTATGCATTTATGCAATATATAAGGATACATTACTGGCATATTCCTGGAAACATTTCAACTGACATTTACAAGTATATTGACTGTTTGAATGGTATGTAATTGTTTCAGATAGACACTTTAGGTGTCCATTATTTTCAACATCACATCATCAATGAAAACTATGGTCACTTATTTCAAAGAGTACTTAGACAAGTAAGTAATTGTAGAACTGGAAACAAACTGTTTTCTAATTATTTTAAATTCATTTACATGTACAAATAATGAAATATACTTCCTAATTTATTGGACACACATTTCCACCGTTAACAAGACGGAATTCTGAGGCTCAAACTTAGCCAACAATTAGTTGAAGGAATTGACCAGTAAGTGTTACTTTTTTTTGTTCAAATTTTCTAACAAAGATGGCAGCTCTGACCCTGCCTTAGTTTCAACAAGTGCAGAGTGGAGAAGACTTGTCTAAGACAGTCAATTCAGTCAAAATGTAATCGACAAAATTTCTATACTGACTTGACAATTACCTTCCCACTCTAGGCTCATAAAATCTGTTAACAATTCAGATCCAGAAACACACCATTGACTCCTAACTATATCACACGTTTTCATCATTAAGTTACCTTCTATCAAAATATGAAGCAGCAGTTTCACATAGTTCTGAGTAAGACGGATTAAATCCCAGCTCTGAAAAAAGAAAATCATAACTTACATAATTACGCAACATATGTATCCTGTGAAAATATGAAATTTTCAAATATTTAAAATTTTTCTTAGTTTAATCAGTTGGGAGATTTGAAGTACTGATTAATCACTTCCCAGCCTGATACAGTCTAATATTTGATTTATATTTAAGAACTTGCTCTAAAATATTTGTATCTTTTTTTTTTTTTTAAGATAATTGTCGAGTTTCCTCATATGATTATGAAAAAACATTCTAAAAGAACATTATTTACATCAACTTCAAAACCATAAAAATGAAAATCTAGCTAGATTTAGAGGTAGAAAAAGATAATTTTTTTATTTATAAAGGATATTTTCACAACAGATTTTATTAGCACTTGTGTAAGATGGTGACTTACTCTGTATTTTCTCCAGTCTATCCCCACCTGAGCTAACAGAGGGTCATCAGGAATATCTAGCACAGCATCCACATAGTTCTGTACACAGAAATCAGCATCATCAACAAAAAAATCACATGTCATAACTGCCTATAGTTAACTGAATATCTTTCTGAAGGAGGCTATTCCAGGTTATTAACAAGATCATAATAATATCAACCAGCTGTCAAATATTTCTTTATAAATGTATAAACATTTAACCAAATTTAACATTACAGTCCACCATGGTTTTATCTTTTTACCCTTATTCTTTAAAAGATCTTTTTCCCTCTTTTCACTTCTTTTCTGTATTTTTGCTCTTTATCACATAGAATTTTAGAAAGTCCTCTCAAAAATAGCAATAACAAGTTTCAATAGTCAAATCTAAGATGGCTGCCTATCAGCCATTTTGTTTTTTTTATCAGTTCTAAAATAATAAGGGTACAAATAAGAACCAAAGGGAGACTAGAGAGAGTGATAACAAACTTTGATTGTCAAAATCAAAGATGACGACATTTTTTTTATCAATCCTTAAATGGAATATTTACAACTAGGAATGAAGGAAAAAACATATAAAAGTTGGAAATGGTCCATTAAACACTTCTCCAGAAATAATGAAATCAAGAAGTTATTTAAAGAATGGGCAGGCAAAGAGTGATTTGAATAGTCCACCATCTGGTAATGGGTGGCTTAATAACATTTAATAAGAGGATCTCAAAATTCTAATTTGATTCATGTTGGCAATCCAAGCATGTACCTCTGCCTCTATTACCACCTCAGTATACAATGAATGAAATGAAGAAGTGATCTAAATGTCTTCAAAAACTCCTTTCATATGAGATATTCTAAATCAATATATAACCATCCTACCTGACTCCAGTCAAATGTCATGGTCTCTCCCAAGTAAGAGTTATCTTTCCATTCTTTGAAGAATTCACAACCTACAAACATATATAGTATTACGAAATGATTTCCTATTTTATAATAAGGAATCTTATGATATGGTTCTTCATTTTTCCAAAATTTTCAAAGTTTCTATCTTCAAGAAAGACACAAAAACATATTTAGTAAGTATATATATATATGTACTATTCAGGAGTGACAATTATAATTTTGCTTAAAGACATAGACATGTACTTCAATGGATTTTCATATCCAATATCTTCCTTTTGATAAAACTATCTAATTACTTTATTCAAATCTGTATTATATTATCAATAGTTTCCACTGGATTTCTCATTTTTGTTTGATAATTCCCCACCAATTTAGAATTTCCAAGCCTAGGAGTAAGCACTTTGTATCAGTGATTTTTATTACAAACAATTTAGGTACCACCTTTCACTGTGACAACACTTAATATGTAAAGTTTAATTCTGTATGCTGAGACAACCTAATGTGTGATACCAAAGAAACATACAAACCTGGATAGGGTATTGACAGTATACAAAAATCTGCATATCGGTTTTCTTTATCGACTTTTTCAGACGATGTAATACTGCAAAAATCGGGGAAACATGGTTGTGTACTTCAGTATCTAAGTAAAATTTCATTAAAAGAGAAAATTAATTGAATTTGAACCTTATTAATATCAAATCCTAAATTTCACCATAACATTGAAGTTAGATACTCCTAATGAAATAAACATGCTAAGATATTGAGGAAAATCATAATTGATCTGGATGTTCTCATATTAATTATATATTGTTCTGCAGTATTTTTCTATGTGTTCCCGTCTTCATGTGTAATTTTGAAAATGAATTCAGCAGCTGGTTCTTCACATACCTAATATACACCACTGTTTCCTGGAGAAACATATCTGCTCTCTCAGGTGCTTAATACAATAAATTGAATAGTCTAAAGTTTTGAAATGAAAATATTTTCTAAATACATAAATGCTTTTCAAATAATTCTTATGTAGAATTATTAAGAACACCCTAAATAAATCTTTAATTTATCAGATACTGCACTCAGGTTACAAATTTGATATAAAGGAAAAAAGAAACAGTATTACCAAACTTTAGCAAATGAAATAAAATATCTTACTTTAAGCCAAATTTGACTTTTTTTTTCTCAACCATCAGGTCACATATATAGCCCACTGAGAACTCCTTCAGCAATTTAATGTCCTGTCCTCTGTAACGGTCAAACATCTGCATCTCTCCCGAGCTGGGCGTGGGGCCAGACCCAGGAGTGGGCAGATTGGGCGAGGCCTCACTTCCTGTCATAACAATAACTGAATCACTTAAAAGTGCGAAGACTTAAAGGTAGCCTCATATTTTAGTCTCAGAAAAACATTCTCAAATAAGCGTAAAATAAAGGATCGTTCATGAACTTATATTCATATGAGAATCATGAAACAAGTCTAAGAAATTTTTTTTTTACCAAGGCTTTGATGAGCTTAAATAAAAAAACTTGTGATGAGCTTCATAAATCTCAAATGAAATGGCAACAAATGTAAGATTCTGTTTGTCATTTCAAATAACTTAGATATTTTTTTCAAATGCTGTATGAACAATTTTTCATTTCAAATAACTTTGATATTTTTTTCAAATGCTGTATAAACAATCTTTCATTTCAAATAACTTTGATATTTTTTTCAAATGCTGTATAAACAATCTTTTATAAAACTGATAGTCAATCTTACTTCATGAAATTCTCACACTTGATCTCCTTGTTTGGTAATATTACCATGTAAATAATACCATTAAGTTATGATGTCACCATGGAAACAGTGAAACCTTCCACCACAGATCTACCAGGTCATATAACACATGTGTAATATGTAAACCAAGCAAAGAAGTGATAACACTTCAGAAAGATACCAAATTGAGGGGAAATCATATTAACAGAAATTTATCCTGTGCAAATGCAATATCATTAACTAAACAGTACATTAAATCTTTTTATAAAACAAGCAATGAATTTTAATTGGCTTGATATATTACTAAAGCCTTGTAATGATATAGCTATAGGCAATGACTTATCTGCCCTTTGCAGTTGTTTATATTTATTACTTATTCATGATGTCATAATATAAAATGAAACAAATTTTTAATACTTCAGGAGTAGAATCCAATGCATTATTGCCCTGATGAAGTCCCCCATCAGAGACAAAACTAGCTGACCAATAAGTTACCCACTCATTGGCGATGTAAGGTGTGTGTTGTGATTGAGACTTACTTGGCCAATTAATGTGTGATAAGTGATGTAATGAATGTTGTTACACTAATAGCAGGGTAGTCATGTGATAAAATCTGTTAGAATATTAGGCAAAACATGCAAGTCACCAACAACTTTTAGTTCCTATCTCATATTACATGATGATGACTATATTAACTGATATACATTCATTTAGACATTTAATAGACAGTTTGGAAAATCCCTCTATTCATTCTAGGTAACATAATATTGGTTTTGCAAACTACAGCTCACAAAAAATGCTTCTCTGATAAAACCGTATTTCTATAAGGTGCTGTTTCAAAAGATTCTATATCATACATGAAATATGACAGAGAAATCAGCTAAGAACACATTATTACCTGGAGGACCAGAGAAAAAAAAGTCCAGTCCCTGCCGACCATACATTTCCGCCCCACTAGACAAGGTAGCTGATCTACATACATGCTGAAATGTATTAAAGTACACATTTTTTTCTGATTTTAGTTGGAATTTGTATAAAATGAAGATGAGTATTTGATTAATATTTGATTTTTGAACAAAGTCATGATTCAATATTTTTAAGTACCAGGTATTCGCATCTTGAAAGTTGCTCCATTATTTGTTAAACTAATTTGATAGCATATTACTGACCATTCTTAAAAACAATACATTGGCATTTGAATCTGTACATTTCCAATCTCCTTCCAAATTTTTATTAAACTATACATACATACTAATCTTCTCAGTTACCTGAGGGGGAAAGTTATCTAAAGTGATATATTTCTGTATGTTAAACATTTTAACTTCCAATCTCAGATGAAAATGAGAAAAATACCTTTCCTTCGCACAGAATGACAGGAACTGCAAACCTTGACCGACATCTGGCATACCGTGCTTGTTTCACCAGATCGCGTAGTTTTTCTATATCATAAATGCTCTGCACTCTGTCAATAACAAATAATAAAATTGCAATTACTTGAATTTTTTGAAAACAACATTAAATACAATGTAGCCAATCAAACCCTCTATTGACATGATCAGCTGCTCATAGACTCTCTGATGGACAGGGAATGAGCATGCAACACTAATATGATCAGGTTGAGGAGATTAAGAGATAATAATGGCTACTGTTGAATCATTTATTTCCTTGTGAATTTCAGTTTCATTAAATTTGTGATAACTGTTAATCCATGACCTTAAGCAGGGTTTTCCATAAGAGCAGGTCGTCAGCCAATTTGACTTGCTACTTTGATCATTTGGCCGCCTACACCAATCCAATTCCGTAATAATGTTCCGTACACAACTACACGTACATGGCAGGCCAGCCTCCTACTTTCACTACACAGCCTACTACTAACAAAATTATGGAAAACCCTGCCTTAAGGTTCACAAAATAATAAACCTGAACATACATCATAGTATTACTGGATTTCATGTGCATGATTTAACCACAAAATCAAAAGTCAATGAAAATGCTTATTTTTGTAAATCACAAAAAAATTTGATCCCAAAGAAAATATAAGATTTGACAGATAATTACATTCTATCAAAATGTAACTTGAGCACATTACTGACCATTAAATAATCACAGATGAGCTCTGTTAATGCAGTAATGTAAAAACATTATGGTGGTCAGTTAGTACAGTGTTAATACACTCGCCTTTCACCTAGGCGTCCAGGGTTAGATTCCCGACACGGACGTGAAATGGTAGGGGGCACCTACCTGACCATGTGAGATTACCTTAGTATTCTGGTCTCCTCCCATAGTAAGCTAAGACACCTCACATACTTCCATCCAGGCCAACAAGATTGATTAATATAAGCTTAACGAATGTTTAATTCTTATTAAATAAACAAAGTTAATATTTCATATTTGATATAAAAAGAAAAGTATTGCAGGTGAAAAAAATTCCTGTAACCTACTCCTCCTGTCTTTTACTCTGTTTCTCTGCCTCCGTCAGTTGGTACTCCAACATAACCAATTTGCTGGGATAATGGCTGCACAGTTCTCCATTAAAATTAGTTATCACCTGGACAATGTAAAAAGGTTTCATTACAAAATGTGTATACATGTGTAATATACCTCTCAACATCAAAAACTTCAATTGTGTAGTATTTTCTTTCATCAAACTGTTAAAAAAATATAAATAATCTAGTTCTAGAGGATCACCAAGCATACCTTAAGTACAATGAAAAATCTTCCCTGCTAAAACTGATTGATATATATTTGTTTAATCATTCTAATGAAATGGTTTTCAATATACTGTCATAGGTAATATATATTCCCGGTACTGGCCAGCTTAAGTAATGGACCATACCTATGGATTTTGTTCCAGAATCAACATGGCTTGATGTATCAGCTGCATCATTAAAAGTGAATGAAAACAGGCTTACTTCCACCCCTTAGTAACCTCATTTAACAATTTGGATTTCTGAAGAAATGCCTTTGTTAAACTTTGTTCAATGACCACTGATAAGAATTTGCACATGCAATCAAACGTTACCTGTGATGGTTATACCTGAATACACATATTTGTGGGCATCAAAAATGTAATAACATACTTACAGAATATCTGTAATCCCTTGCCAAAAGCATAAGACATCTTTCCATGATAAATTCACCCTGAAAAATGTTAAGAATAGACATGAATTTTAACATCTGCATAACAATAGGTCCATAATCTAACGAACATATGAAATTTGACTGGTATAGGTCATCAAGTGGTTTTCTATTAACAATGATTAAGGTGAAATTCACACAAAATGAGAGCTCTGATAGTCTTGGCATTATATGTCTGTGTTTTTGCATAAAAAATAAAACAGCTTTATAGTGCAGCTTATCAACAAAAGCCAAAGTGTTATTTTTCATGATTGTCTTCATGACACTTAAAAAACGATTTTTTTTTCTTTCACATTTATTGTCTGAATTTGTCAGAAAATCATAAAAAAAAAAAAAATAAATGATTTGAGTATAAAGAAACTAAGACCTTCCAATCAATGAAAAACACAAATCATCCGTGTCTATCATTACCAAGTATTGGGGCTTTCAACATAAGGTCAACCAGTCACATTTTATATATACCGATACATGGATCTGAAACTGCCAATTTCTTAAGTCTAGAGAAAAGTAAATAGCAGAAGAGTCTTACCGCTACTATTGGATAATTCACGTTTCTAACTACTATGTAATCAATGGAGTCATTAATATAATTCAAAACACTTCACGTGTAATATACTAGTAATTGTATGAAGATCGTCTCAATCAATTTTGAGACTCAGATCTATATATTTGAGTCATGGACTTATCTTTTTTTCGCGGGACTCATCCAAATTTAGATAATCCACTAGATATAGTTGTTTTGTTACTAACAGACAAAATTTCAGAGATTCAAACAACAACCTGTATGTCGCCATCTTTCACTTTGTGAGTCGTCTTATTGCAGTGTTCCAACAAAGAATGTATATCCTCTGGTTTTATCGTTTCTGTTTCATCTGATGGTTCGCTCATTCTGGCAAAGTCGTTTCACGCCTTCATAAGAAAAAAGAAAACTTCTTTTCAACACGGAAATTATTTGCGTACGGCATCCATATTTAAAGACCTCTCTTCTTTTATTATATCGCCAATGGTAAGTCCAAATGTAATCCGAAAAGAAAATTGTATCTATTGTTACAGTGGTTTTTATTAGTCGAATTTTTCAATGCCATCCAATCACTATAGATTTACTATCTCGCGTCAGCGGCAACCATCGTGCTATCGACGGGAATTAGCAGACAAAAATTGGAAAGATGTAGCATTGTATTCATGTGATGAATACTAATATTGCCGATCAACATGTTCCGAAGTATCAAACGTGTTGTCTGTGGCATGTCTGGTGGAGTTGACAGCGCAGTTTCAGCACTTCTTCTAAAGGAAAAAGGTTTATTTTCCCATGTTGATGTTTCACACAGTCATGCCCTTTCTCGCAAGTGTGCGGACTTTTTTGATAAGTCCGATCGAAATGCCTTTTAGACCAAAAGTTTTTGTCTCCAAAATGACAATTTAATGTCAATATTCATATTTATTGTTCTGTTATTGATATTTACATTTTTATTGGCTATTCTTATTCTAGAGAGAGAACATGTTCATAAAAGTGTTATACACTTTATTTATTGTACAACAATTGGGAAACAAACATTCAGCTTATATTAATCACTCATGTTGACCCAGATGGAAGTGCGCGAGAGGTCTTACTATGGGAGGAAACCGGAGTATCGCTAAGTGAAAGGCGATTGCGTTACCACTGCATCACCCAAGCACCGGATGGTAGAAGCTCATTCACCATGGATGTGGTGAATTAAACAATTATTCTTGCAACGTAGCCTGAAATCTTTTGTTCATTTCAAAGTGAAATAAGTTTATCTTCCTTGCTAACCTTTTTAGACCTTATGTTATGTTTAAACCATTCTCTCCGCTTCAACTTAGAAATTAAATTGCATTGCCATTACCATTTATACTAATAACAACTATGAACTGCCTAGTACTACCTGAAACAACCTGGCACCATTCAGTCAGGCAATACCAGGCTTATGGCTTATAGAATACTGCAAAAATATTGTCTGGTAAAAGTTTTCTTAGTCTGGTCCGGGACATATATAACAGATTATTATATGTCCCTTGTCTGGTTACCTTTTCCAGTTTACCTTTCAGAATGTCCTGTGTAGAGTGTGGCATGTCATATGAAGTTCTAGGTCAGGTGAAGGGTTTTGAATAGGGCAGAACACCCCCCCCCCCCTCCCCCCTCTCCCCCCCTTTCCCCCAGAAGCTGTAAATGAATAAGAATAATTATACAATAATATGCTTCTTTTTAAAGCTTGACCAAATGATGTGTACACATAGCTACATATGTAGCTATGTCATGTACTCACCTGGTAAAGTTTCCATGATGGTAAAAAGGACAGGCGTAATACTACATGTTTTGCAGCCTCTTAGTTTTGCTAGCTGTTTCAGTCAAATTCATCAAACAGGTATCAAATACATACAAGATATGTATTTTATGTGGAATGCTTTTCGTGGTACTTTTTATTAACAATTACATGTTCTTTGCATTCTAGGGTATGAAGTAATTGGACTTTTCATGGTGAATTGGGACAAGTTAAACCAACATGGTGTATGCCAAGCAGATAAAGATTTTGAGGATGCCCAATATGTTTGTAACCATCTAAACATACCCTTACATAAGGTCAACTTTGTCAAAGAATATTGGAATGAAGTATTCAGGTACTGTTATGTATTTATGCAGATCAGTCAACTGTTGTATAATCCTGCTGTATATGATTGCATTAGTTAAATGCCATGATAAAGCAGTGCTTCAATTCAAGGAAATGTGATATTAACAAAAACAACATTAAACTAAATTCTTATTAACAGTATCAAACTTGTCATATGAAATGTAAGTTGCTGTCTCATTAGATTACTTGTTTATACTGTACATTTTTTTGTAAGTCAAGAAGTATATTAGTTTAAATACTCTGTGCAAACATTTTAATGAAATACCTAAAGGGATAAATATGCTCAACAGCCAACAACATAAGACTGAATTTCTTTTTCAAATTAGTTGCTGTTCTTTACTTCTGTTAATTGTATTTTCAAATCAAAATAAATGATGTTTTGTGTCTTTGCAGTCAATTTTTGGCAGATCACCAATTTGGCTTTAGTGCAGTTCCCGACATTTACTGTAATCGCTACATCAAGTTTGGCACATTCTTTGATGCAGCCAGGAATGACTTTAAAGCTGATGCTTTAGCCACTGGTCACTATGCCAGGACAAGTATACAGCATGATCTGGAGAATGCAGACCTGTCCAAAGGTAAGATATATTTTCCATGAAGAGGTCAATCGAAGTACAGCACATCTGTATATAGAGATCATGCCACTTAAATGAAATTATTTGCCAACGATTCGAACATGTAATTTTTGTATGTCATATAATGCATGTACATTTACACACTTCGTCTCTGTTCCATGATTGTGCATGTTTAAGAAGAATGACCTATGTCAACTACAAAGCAAAGTCTTGCCAAATATTGCATAGGTACAGTGTATATGTAGCCTATGGATTACAAAAATGACCTCGATGCATAAGATTGAGCTATTTCAAACAGCAAAACAATTGTTATAGTGCTCAGTACCGATGTATTACTAAATCAAAGTACAAGGGAACTCGGGAAGTTAAAAACGACGAAATGTTTTATATTGTATACTAAATAGAGTTAAAGCTGTTATAATCGTGTGTTGCATTCTTTCCATATTACAGCTTTGTGTTTGTGTTTGCAGTGATCACCAATATAAATGCAAATGACATTGGGGACATCAACAAAATGTGACTGCTTGGTTTAGGATTCATCATAAGCTATTATCAATCCCTAGATTTAGCAAGTTTTTCAAACAATAAGAATGGTCAAATGTAACATTTTTGGATGGACTGAGTATATTGGTATTGTGAAAGCATCACAATATCATTATGGGTTGGAGCCATTATGTGCATTTTAATTTCGGAAAATATGTTGTTAATGCGATGTTCCAATAACCTATGCTATTAATCACTCTGTATATACTTTTGAAAGCTCTATTATTTGTCTAGTAATAAGCTTTTACCTGATGTAGGCCTAGATATATTGTTGACTTCCCGGGTTCATTGCTAGATGGTAGATATTATGATTTATTTTCAACAAGTTAACAATGACTAAGTTTTACCAATGTTTAAGCCTCCATCAGCTGTAGAGACAAATTTTAATGTACATACAATATACGACATAAGGATGTATTTCATTTGAGAGTTATGATCTTTATTTTGAAATTCTTTTGCAGGTGTCCGGTTACTACGAGGGGTTGACCCAGTAAAGGATCAGACATTCTTTCTTTCTCAGATTTCTCAGAATGCACTAGAGAGAACTATCTTCCCGGTAGGGGGTATGATGAAATCAGATGTGAAGAAGATAGCAGTCAAAGCAGGATTGGGAAGAATAGCAAGAAAAAAAGAAGTAATTACTGTTTTATTCTGAATCTTTCATCTACAAACATATTTTTAGCCCATTATCATCAAATTACTTTTATTCCACTAAGTGGTCTGTCCTGAATCTGTCCATAATTATCGCTATTTCTTGAAAAGAACTTGAAGGGTATATATCGGATTTCATTTGTCTGCTCCCATCTGTCCCTAATAGAGACCAGTCCATTCAATCTGGTCCATGAAACAAAATGGCTGACAGGTGACTATTATAGATTTTGACAGTTGAATTTTATTTTCGGTATTGCTTGAAAATTGCTGGAGGGATATTTCTCAAACTTTCTGTGCAGGTCTCCCTCTGTCCCTTGTTGAGCCCATTTAATCTGTAGTCTAATCAGTGAAACAAAATGACTGACATGCTGCCATCTTGGTTTTGACAGTTAAAGTTTATTATCACTATTTTTCCCAAACTTTATGTGTATGCCCCATAGTGCTTAGTTGTGCCTGTTTGATTTTGACACTGAGACTAAATAGCCAACAGGCAGTCATTTTAGATGTTGATGAGAGAAGTTATTACCATTTTTCTCAAGAAGTACTTGGCAGATATTTCTCATATTTGATGCATAATTATGCCCATTTGATTGTGTACCTGCTCAAAAAACATGTCTGACTAGAGATCATCCTAGATTTTGAGAGCTGAAGTTTGTTCTCTAGAGATCATCCTAGATTTTGAGAGCTGAAGTTTGTTCTCTAGAGACCATCCTAGATTTTGAGAGCTGAAGTTTGTTCTCTAGAGACCAACCTAGATTTTGAGAGGTGAAGTTTGTTATCTAGAGACCATCCTAGATTTTGAAAGCTGAAGTTTGCTATTTCTCAAATAATATTTGTTATATCTCTTAGATTTATGGAGGTTTCTCTTGTTATCAAATGATTAAAAAGGAAAGGAGACAGAAGAGAAAAGAAGAGACAAGAAGAGAAAAGATCAGTCATAGAACCTATGAAAATCATGCAGTCTTTGCCTGGCAATTTCTCAGGGATTGATTGATTTTCTTTTTCCTTTTATTCAATTTTCAAAAATAGAATGAAATACTATTTTTTATGAATTATGTTTTATTTTTATAAATGTACTTTCATCTGTGTCACTTTTTTTCAGAGTATGGGTATATGTCACATCGGAAAAACAAATTTCCAGTCATTCATTGACAATGTAAGTATACCTTGTGAAATCATCTGTCATATTAATAGTATTAATTCATGTGTTGTAATGTACCCAGTGATGCATGACCGAAAACCTAGATCATTGTGAAGTAAGGTACCTTTGGTTGAGGTTGCATCATAGAACGAAATGCTTCCATATCCATTCAGATGTCATGAGACATTAAGTAAATATGCCTTGTTTCTTTTTGTTTTGCCTGTAGATGTCATGAAACATGTTTGTAATATTTTCTGGTTTGGTTACTTTGTGAGTAGGTGACAGCAGAAATTAAACCAGCAAAAATGATTACAAAATAGATAATGATAATAAGCTTGTTGATTGGCTTTAAAAGTCATATAACTTGGACGGGTTTGCTAGATTGTTTGCACTGACGACAAAATGATAGACTCCGATTATTGGGATTGCAATTAATTGATGACAGGAAAAACTGAAGACATGCTGATATTGTCAACTTTGGCTAATTTTTGCATATGAAATTGTCAAAATGATTGAATTTCTGGTTTATAGTATCTTTTTTGAGTTTGTCAGTTAGATTTTCCAACAGACGAGTGGCAAATCTATGGAAAGTAACTATATCCCTCGCTTTGCCAACATTCTATTTTTCCATATGAGGCGAAATATATCAAAGAGTTTATCAAAACAGATCACAAAAACCGTGCAAAGTCTTCAGTTTCGTTTTCAGTTATATTGATGATAAATTGTCTTTAATTAACAAAGAATTTCTGTATGCCATCAAGTATACACACTAGTATTTGAAGGACACAACAGACTCTTACACACCAGGAAATAATTTATTTCCTGTTAGCAATGTTATGTTGGAGGCTTTGGATGCTTGTTAGTGTCCCTGTTGTTCTGCTGATGTTTACCTTGTTCCCAATTAGGAACATGACATAACCTTACTTGGATTTATATTGCGGTTGTCATCGGTGAAGTAGAAAATGTTTAACATTGTGTCTAATTCTCCTTGTACTTTTTCTCTGTGTAAATAGTTATATTAATATTGGGCCTAGTTTTACGGAATATTAGTTTGTATTCTGTAGACATGTCAGTATTTTATTTCTTGCTTTATATATAATTAGTGCCCTGTATATATAAAACTGTAAATTTTATGTGTTTTTTGTCCTACTTTCAGTACCTAGAGCCAGATAATGGATTCTTTGTGGATCTTGAAACAAATGAGAGAATAGGACAACATGATGGTAATACAACCAAATATTTATGTTATTAATAGGGTTGTCTTGTTTGTCACATCAGCTGAGACTTTGAAAGGGAAGGGCGTATTTTACTTTGAATTCATTCTGGGCCAGGAGTGATTTCATCTGTACATCATAGTGACAAGAGTAGGAGTTACTAAATTTGATCGTTGAATGCGACAATATTTTTTTCTTTATTATGCTGTCTGCTGCTGATCACCTGCCACTGTTTATACAGGCCTCAAATCTCTTTTACACAATTCTCAACTTGCTCATCAAGAATATGATGAGCAGAAATTCAGAAACACACAGTGTGACTCAGAAATATACGTTTTATTCAAATACTTGTTATATTATTATGAAATAAACTACATGTAGAAATCAAGAAAATACAAACAAAGAGCAGCATCACATGAAGTTTTGGCCATTACCAAATTTTTATTATTATTCTAAAGAGTGTATAGTGATGGTATTGTAAATTGTTTGTGTGATTTTGTCATTAATTCCCTGCATTGAAGATGAAGATGCCCGAAAGTTATCAGTTTATCTGTCTCTTTTATTTTCTTTTTTCATTTTTTTTTTTTTTTTTTTTGTATCGGCACAATATCTTAACTTCAGTTGGACCATTTGCACTCAGACTTTACGCACCCAAACTTTACCCTATGTTCCTTTGAAGGAAGTGCTTGCATGGAGTGATATTCAGGTCCTAGGGTCAAAGGTCAAGGTCAATGTTACCAAGTACTAGTACTATATATAGAAAATAAGTATCTTCAAAATGTCTTTCATTTTGTTTCAATGAATAGATTTTCATCATTGCTGCTTTACTAAAAGTGCTATCTCTAAACCAGTTTTCATATTCAGAGGTCAAACATCAAGGTCACCCTATAAATAAAGATTGGGGTATACAACCAAAAAAAATTGATCAAAGGTCAAGTTAATATCTTATATATTTTATGACAAACATTTTAGATCAGATGTCAAGGTCAAATTTTAAACATTTTCCTGATAAATATTTTGTTATGGTGATATAAAGCATAATTCAAAACTGGAGATTAAGTTGTTTTAGAAATATTTATATTTCACAGGCAAGTTATTATGTCTATAAAGCAATTACCCAGAGTCACAGCAATTAAACATCATTGTGCTACACAGCACTCAGATTTAGAATCTGACACAATATTGGGCCCTTTCTCAACACAACACTCAGATTTAGAATCTGACACAATATGAGGTCCTTTCTCAACACAACACTCAGATTTAGAGTCTGACACAATATGGGATCCTTTCTCAACACAACACTCAGATTTAGGGTCTGACACAATATGGGATCCTTTCTCAACACAACACTCAGATTTAGAATCTGACACAATATGAGGTCCTTTCTCAACACAACACTCAGATTTAGGGTCTGACACAATATGGGATCCTTTCTCAACACAACTCTCAGATTTAGAGTCTGACACAATATGAGTCCTTTCTCAACACAACACTCAGATTTAGTCTGACACAATATGGGTCCTTTCTGATGTGTGTCAGTCCTCTAGTAAGATGTCAGTGTTCAGTTGAGAATTAGTATTTGAGATTGAAATAAATTCTATGAGGCCATATTAACTCTGAAAATATTTCATCGTTAGTAATACATGTACATGCAGCATATAATGAGCCATGTAAAAAACATTGGGTTATCTTTCTTGCAGTGTAAGATGAGTGGTATTTCGATGAGCACCTAATTCTATTAGACAGACTTATTACAATAGTTAGTCAGCCTATATCGTTTTGTCATAGCCATGTCTCTTGTGAGTCATTAGTCCCCTGCGGGTGATACTAAAGGGGACTCTATTGTTTATCTCTGTCCGTTTGTCTGTCTGTCCAGATTTTGGTTTCCAGATGATAACTTTAGAAAGGATAGATGGGTTTGGTTGACACTTCATACAATGTTAGCTTATGCGTCAATTCAAAGAAGGATTAAGTTCGGGGTTGAAAGGTCAACTACAAAGGTCACTGTGACTAAGTACAGATTTTTTTTTCAAATTTTGGTTTCCAGATGAAAACTTCAGACAGGATTGATAGATTTGCTTGAAACTTCATACAAAGTTAGTTTATAAGGTAATATGGAGTGGAAAGATGTTTGGTTAAAAGGCCAACTACGAAGGTCATTGTTATAAAAAAAAATAGACTTTATTGAGAAATTTTGGTTTCCAGATGATAATTTGTGATAGGCTTGACTGATTGTTTTGAACCTTGATGCAATCTAATACTGTTAAAAAAATATATAGGGTGGGATTGACTAAGGGGTCGAAAGGTCAACTATGAAAGTCGCTTACTATAATAGACATTTATCACCATTTTAGGTCCCCACGGCAAAGATGTGGGCAGCAAACTTTTCAGAAAAGCACCACTAGTCAAATGACCAATGTTCAAGGTCACTGTGTCATAAGGTCAAGGCCGAATTTGATATCTTTTCATGTATATACTGACAGTGTAGCTAGAATGGTTAAATTTACCCTTAAAGGTCAAACACAAGCCGGGTCCTTTCTGACATGTCAGTGTTTTAGTTTGTTTTCCAGATAATCATTAATTGAATTAGGGATGAAAAACTTGATTAAAACGTCATACAGTATTAAGGAGTGCATATAGTTTTTTCCACATTCTTGTCTGGTTTATGCATCCTTCCTGTCAAGACACTGGCTTTTGGAGGGAAGACTTTAAGTTGTTAAAATGAAACATCTGTTTATTGCTCTCAAGGTCTTTGTTGTTTAGAAAATTTAATTAACGGCAGGGGGTGAGTGTTGCATGCAACACTAACCGTAAGCTTGTTACATAAGACAACTTCTCTCATCACTTTTTACGCAGTGATAATAGATCTGTTTGAGTTGAGATCAATTAGAATGGTGATTTCTAATTACTTCGTTGGAATTTGCATATGTTCTTGGGTATTTTGGCAAATGAGGCAAAGTTGAATTTTTTTTTTTCAGCTTTCAAATCTTTCCTGTGTACAAAATATACTAAATATTTCCCATCCATATTTTGAATGAAGATATATTTTTTGTGTATGGGTCACCTTTTTGCTGTTTTTTAATTCTGAATTAAATTTGAGTTATCAAACAACATCTTCTCATCCATAACAAATTTGTGTGATGAAAGCAAGTGTTTATATACCGTGCCTCCATTTTTCTCTCCTATCACATGTTTGTGTTCAGGGGTTTCCTTAACAAATTGGATGGTTAAAATGGACATGAGAAATTGACTTTGAATACGGGGATAGCAAGGAAACATAACTGGAAGTGTATACAACACATACAATCAATAGGAAGAATATTACTGTGTTATTTGTATTCTGTCTTACTTACGACATTAATTCAAAATATCCTCTACATATTTTTGCTTTAAGTTTAATTTCATTAGACTGGCAGATTGCTACTATGATGAATTGAAGTATTTAAGCAACAGCTACATGTAAATGTATTAGTTCAGAAAATCATGCTCTTCTTGGTACGTGATGTTATCATTTAGAAAGAAAACATTTACATATGAGGATCAATACTGGATAAGAATGATTTTGTTGATTATACGGTTTTAGGTATCCACAAGTGGGTGATAGGGCAGAGAACACGCCTTTCTGCAGACATGAAATCTTATGTTGCATCAAAAGATCTGGTTACAAATGACATCATGGTGGTAAGTTTGTATAATGTTAAACCAAATCAATGGGTTATCTACTTGACATCAACAAAGACAACAGTTTTCATTTCAAAGTGCTTTCGTTGATTTTTTCTCACATTAACAAGTGAGTGTATTTCATAGCATCTATCATCTGTCATCTTATTTCAACTTCTCCCAAAAACTTGGATCAAGAGATTTGGTCAGTAGTATATATATGACTTTGTTCAAGTGAATGACCTTGATCCACTTTCATAATCACAGGGGTCGAATTTGTTAAATTGTGCTAACAACTTTTTCACCCTCTATTGTCAGTTGGTGAGCAATACAATTTGCCCTACGTCTACCATCCATCATTTGTCTGTAAACATTCCTTGTTTTTTCTATATCTTGAGAACTACTAGAAGGATGTTTTCTGAAACTTGATGTATAGGTTTTTTTTTTTTGCTTGTGAATTACTTTCTGTGACCTTTCAAAATGTCATCACAGAAAGTAAAATTAAATTTGAGAAATTTTGAATGTCTGAGTTTCATACATTCTGAAACATTTCTGGAAAAGTAGTTGATGGAGCTTTCTCAAATTCCCTTTAAAGATCCCCTAGGTCACTTGTATTATATCAGTGATTATGAGGTTGATTGAAAGATTGGCCTATGGGTGGCCATCTTGGAATTTGACACTTAATATGTGTTACTGCTATGTACTAGATGATTCATTTTTCAATTTTATGGTTCCCTATCTCAGCTGTGCATTGTTCATTTTAGAACTGCACAGTGAAATAAAATGGCTGACAAGTGACTGTCTTGAATTGACAGATATTTTTTTTAATTTTCAGTATTTTCATGGGGAGAATTTCAAATTTCATTTCAAGAAATTAGAGAAAAGATGGAAAAAGAATAATAGACTCATTAAAATGGGTGCTAAGATCTTTCAGGGATCTTCTTAATAAGTGGTCAAGTGCTACAAAATTTTAAAATATGGATTTTGATTTGCAGGTATTTGGCACCGATCACCCAGCCTTGTTTAGTTATTCAGCCATTACACAGGTTCCGTATTGGATTCACAAACCACCTGCGGGACTTTATGAGAACAAATCAGTTGATGTCTTGTTCAAGTTTCAGCATGTGCATCCTATTTCAGAATGTAAAATAACATTGAATGCAGACAAGACTCTCACATTAACAACAGCGGAACCCTTCCGAGCTTTCAGCCCAGGGCAATTTTTCGTATTCTACATTGGAGATGAGTGTATAGGCAGTGCTCGGATAGAAAAATCTGGACCTTCCCTTTATGATCTTAATCACCGAAGTCGAGTGAAATTAAGAGAACCTTTTACATGATAGCTTTGGTGTGGGTGTATTTTTAATAAATTGGTCATTTATTTTTCCTGTGTCTTTTGTATTTGAACAATGATATTGACCTTGTATTATTTACATTCTGTCATGACCTAAGTTGTCATACTGTATTATATAAGTACAACTCAGAGGCCAGTTATTATGCTGTTCAGGTGTACAGGATGGTGCTTATGGTGCTGAAACCATGTAAAACTTTTTATCCTGCAGTTTTAAGGAAATATTATACCTCTTTACCACATGAATCATACATCATAACACTTAACAAGTTTTCAGTTCCTTTGAGGTTAACCAAAGGATTTATATCCCTTACTAAAACAAAAGGTAGTTTTGAGAACAAAGCGATCAAAACAAATTTGAGCAACAGATGTTGATTGAAGAGATGTGGTCCCTAATTGTTCAGTCTGGAGAACAATAGATTTCACAACCTTTGGTGATGATTGCAGGTGTTTGGTTTGATAGTCCAAACTTGTGGCAGCTAGTGTTTCTCAGCAATTTGAAATTCCAGTCATGTTCAGTAATTGTTGTGTCCTTGGACAAGACACTTAACCCTAATTGTTTAGGATGTATGTGACAGACCTCACACATGTTGTTCAGTAAGGTAGCTACCAGCTACTACAAAGAGATGGCACCTTATAATGACCTGTACTGTTCAATTTCTTTTGACCTTTTTTTCTCTGTTACTGATATTTTTGTCTTACTTTATACATTGATGCATCACTTGCAGGTCAGTGAAATAACAAATTACCCACCCCACGCCACCCCCTAGGGTTTAAAAAGCACCAAACACCATGGCAACATAATCATAATTCAAACTCCAATTCCATAAAACTAGGACAAAATATGAACCAGAAAAGATTACACGGAGACTCCTGATAAAGTACAAAGAGAATAAGACCAGGTGTCCCGGAAGAGTAAGTGTCTTCTGCTTCATCAACGACAACCGCCATGTAAGCCTTGGTCAACCCAAGTGAGTAATGTCACATTCTCAAATGAGAGCAAGGTATACAACAACTAAACCAATCAAATCAAATATGTCCAACTTCATGTCACACACAGAAATAAATCATCACTGGAGACCATAAAACTTCCCCATGATTTCCATCAACCTGTTCAGTTCACTATTATTTTTGAACTGAGGTACAAATGTAAATTCTATTTTTGAGCATAATTTGTTTTATTTCCATTTAAAACATGAAAACTTAGTTAATATGATATTAGTATATACAGGAAGACGTTTTTATGGTATGTAGGTATTGCCTCGTGTCGACTGCCAACATCCTTGATACTCCAGGGGTTAAGATCACTTTAGATCTATGCAGACATGGAACATTTCATAGCAATATTGAAAGCCTGTGCAAAGTAATTTGACTGGTTTAGAGCATGTTCGGGTGAAAAAAACGACCAATCACAGACTGAAATGCTCGTTAGAAGATTTTAAGGGAGCCACACCCAGCTTTAATGACAGTTCAACATACCTTTATGCGACCTTGATATTAGTTTGATGTACATCAGAGGATCAAAATAGTAACTTGCACATGGACCTTCAATTTTCCTTGAAATGTTCTGGGGTGCAGAGAGCAACAGTGAGCCTTGGGATGTTGTGTGGATGACCGCCTGGGCCTGATGGCCAGACAGTTAAAGGGGTCAATTTGACTCAAATTTCAAAAACCTTGGATATGGTTACAAACATTTTACTAATCTAATAAAACCTGTGAATTTCATGAACCCAGGGGTCTGCATTACTCCATGGGGAGGGAGTTAACTAATTTCATATTTGAAACTTAAGTTTTCAGAATAGTTTTTTTTTAAATTATTTTCAAAGGAAATCAATCATACCTGGATAGAGTTATCAACATGGGGTGGCAGTTAATGTTTTGCACGTTTCATATTTTCCTGACATGTACAATGTCGCCTAACAAGTAAAAACTGGAAGGGGTAGATTAATCAAGCTTTCGCTAACTAAAATCAAATGATGCATAGCATATTTATTGGATGAAAAGGTACTCGTCATCATCATACACTGACGGTGTACATCAAATACTTAGTTAATCCCGTTAAACCAGGAAAGGACTGGTCAGCAAAAGGGGAATAATTTTATTAAAAGGAAGAAAAAAATGCATAAAAATGAAGGTGGTATCTTCAAGTTGTACCTATACTGTGTACCGAATTTCAAGTGAATAGATTGAGAATTTAAAGTGAATACGATTGAAAATGTGGAAGTAGATGATTTCACTAGATTAGGGACGAACTATTTCATTGTCCGATTAACAGGATGGGGATGGAATGATAAAAAAAAGTCACGAATTAATCGTGACTGCAATAGCCACGTGATCACCGGACACTGGATATATGGTCTTGAGTTATAGCCCTTGATTGTTATTCTTTTCCCCTCATATGACACCAAATGCTTGGTTTTACTGTGTCTTCGAAGAAGTTTAAGAACATCATATCGAAATATGCTTCAATGAAGACAAGATTACCTTTGTCGTCAGAATGTATTTTTGTATTAACTGATTTAGTACACTTTGTCGTAAATTGAGGGCCATCAATATTAGTTTGAAATGATAATCAAAACTGATTTTTCATTTTTGTGAAAATAAACCTTGTACTCCTTGCAGCGTCTCCATTTGTGTTCGTTGTTAAATGCCACCGAGCGATACACCCAATTTAATTAACCTTTGATTCCTCGTACTCTTAACGAAACAAGTTTGCCTGCCACCGAAAGCAGATTTTACACTTACGTAACTGGTAAGTCATAATTAAAAACCGCACGTTGAAAATTGACTAATGTTGAAAGATGGCAAGAATCTGGAATTGTTCAAGATGATATAACATACAGGCAAGCAGCTGTACGTTTTAATGTCAGTCATTCCGATATTTCTCGGTTGATGATACAGTGTCTGAACCAAACCGGGTATGTTGACGAACGTTCCAGGTCTGGCAGACCTAGAAAGACTATATATAGATAAGATAGACTTATGTGTAGGCAGACAAGGCGAGCCCCATTCACCAATCCCAAAAGGCTCGGAGGACAGTGCAACGACAACGTTCACGTTAGCCGGCGTGTCGTCAACAGACATTTGAACAATATTAAACTCATCGCTGACCAGTAACACATCCTCTGTTGACTGGAAGGCACAAACAAGCAAGACTATAATGGTCACGTGATCAACAGGCATTGAGTATATGGCAGGGTCCTGTGTTTGGAGAACAAGACCTACGGCATACCATCAGGATCACTTTCTGGACACAACAATTTGTGATGTTAATGATTGGGGATGCCTTTCTCTAAACTCTACGCTTCGCTCGAGTATCCTTGATTGAACTTGAAATGGGCAAAAGTACCGTGATCATGAGATCCTTTGACCTATAGGGTTTTCGCATGTCGATGTCCATCCATTGGCAGATCGGCCTATCCTAATGGATGACACTGCCAAACGACACAGAGCTCGCCTCGTGCAAAACCGTTTTCAGCAAAAAGTGATAAAGACTCTCCCATGGCCTGCAATGAACCCAATTGATCATTTATGGGACTTTGTCTGACAAAAATTCAATTCACGGGATCCAAATGACAAATTCTGGAGAGTTACGGAATGCATTAGTTCAGGAGTGGCAGAGGTTTCCTCATAATAAGCTTCGGCCTGTGTACAGCGTTGTAGCTATACCCGATATTGACATTTCCTACCCAATATAACTATGTGATTAGTTTATCTTGATAAAACAATACATTTTGATGAATTGATGGTGTACCTAATAATTAGAGACAAAGTCAAACTTTTTTTAAACTTTTGGAATGACTCTCTGAGCACGTCTTTTTAGAATGATACAGCACTTCGGTTCTGTAAATTCTTTTCTATCGACTGTGCATAGTTTCTTTAGATTCCTAAAAAAAACCCTGCCCATTAATCCTATTGAACTGTCATTGAATACGTTATAGGTACACTGAAGAAAATGAAGCCCAATACTAAGATACCAGTGGTCCCTCACATTACATATTGTTATCAACTGCTCTATAACTGTACTGTTGACCATGAACTGACTTTTATGGCACCGCTGGGTTGGGTCATAAAGTGTTATTTCGTGTCTTACAGGTAATGAAATGTGTTAAATGTCATATCCAGGTAATGACCTGTTCGTGTATGTCATGTTCATGTTATGACGTATATGAGTATATCATGTTCAGGTGTCTGAAGTATACGTGTTTGTCATGTCCAGGTAATGAAGTATACCTGTATGTCATGTTCAAATGATTAAGTTTACGTGTTTGTCATGTTCAGGTGATTAAGTATACCTGTATGTCATGTTCAAATGATGAAGTTTACGTGTTTGTCATGTTCAAGTCATCATGAAGTATACCTGTATGTCATGTTCAGTAATGAAGTATACATGCTTGTCATGTTCAGGTGATGAAGTATATGTGTATGTCATGTTCAGTAATGAAGTATACGTGTATGCCATGTTCAGTAATGAAGTATACATGCTTGTCATGTTCAGGTGATGAAGTATATGTGTATGTCATGTTCGGGTGATTATATATACGTGTGTGTCATGGCCAGGTAATTATATCTATGTGTTGGTCATTTATCGTATGACTATTCAGTGCTTTTATCACTTGCCATTTCCCACGGTGATAATATGTCCCTTCTGCCGTCGACGAGCATCTTGTCCTTTGTCGCCTATTTCGCTATGCTGGATAGTAGTCTACGTTATTGCGCCTGTGATAAAGAGCTCCAATATACGTCAAAATTGTCAGCCAAGTTACTCTTCTGTACAGTCCTGTACTAAAATTGATTTATATTCCCTGTCATTATGTATTTTGAGAGGGATTCTTGTAGAATAGGTTTGGTAATGGAGGGGAAACCTTTCCACCAGCTACAACATCAACTAAGCGTCTCCGATATCCCGTTATCGCAAACTGGTGCCGTGGTTAATTCTTCATGTTATGGTTTGTCATGGTTGTTTTCCACAGAGCGGTCCGTCGCGATTCTTGGTTAGATTTGTTATGTAGTTCATCGCGTACCAAGGCTTA